CGAACGATATGCTACTAATTGGATATCCACTGCACACTCAAATAGCCATCGGATGTCTTTTTGCAATGTCTGGTATGTTTGAGTCGTATGCAATCTTGAAACCTGATTGTAACTGCGGACACGCTTTTGCATTTTTTGGTCTCCAGAGAAACATTAGGTGGCTTGATATTTTATACAAAGTCTTAGACAATATTTTGCCCACCTCTGATGATTACACAGATTCTGACAAAGCCTTAATTTCACTGCTTCCAATACAACATCTCATAGAACAAAAATCTTATCATGAAATAGTTGAACTTAATAACTTATGTCTTTTATATGAAGTCAAACCAATTCTATTGGACTTTCTTCGACCATAGATGTTTTCTTTATACTTAAGACTTATGATATGCTATTACAATTTGAATCTCAACACCAATAGTGACTTTTATACTGATTGTGACTTCATTTGTATTTTGACATATGTCTGTAAATTACCTTATAATTCTTATGCTTGCCGCAGTCACTGTACACATTGTAATTTATTATTGCAGTATTNTTGCCGCAGTCACTGTACACATTATAATTTATTATTGCAGTGCAATCTATTATCGTACATACTGTCGGATGTCTTCATTTTGTTAAGAGAAAATTATATACATCATAATTTGATTTTGTATTAAGTGAATTAATAACTTTTTAATACATTTTATGTGTTTTGTACTTAGATCTTTTTTTTATTTTTTACTTTTCAATTTTCTTTTTTTTTTGCTCATTTAGTGAGCTAATTTGCAGATTTTTTCGTTAATTTATAAAAAATTATTTTTGAATATATAATTTACAATTATTTCAATATTTTTTTAACATTATTTCATTTAAATTAATTAAACATTTTTTTTAGTTGTATAATTTATGATAAAAGTATTAATGTTTTTATTTGAACTAAACATAAAATTAATATTGTATATTTTTACTGTAAAATCCTAATAGAATTTTAGCAAATATAACAAAGATATTTTTTGTAATTCATGTGTTCAATTTGTTATTTTTATTTATCCTTACTTTAACAGTGACAATTTGTGCTTTCAGGAAAAATTGCAAAGATATCATTGTCATAGGCAATGTTTTTTACTGAATCGGCAAACGTTCGTAGCATTCATTTTTGATAAAATTGGCAATTTAAGCTGATTCAAATGCTAAAATTAATTTTTTCGACTCAAAAAAAGAAAAAAATTAAATAAGTTTAATTTTATATTCTATATCAATTAGTTTTATATAATATTTATGAAAATCAGTGTACCCAATTATAAGGTATATTAAAATAAATTAAAAAATACAACACCAAGAATTTTAACAAAAAAATAGCATATTTTTTAATAGGATAACAGTTTTCATGATATCTGGACATTTTTTTTTTTCATAGTATAGTAATTACATAAGCTTTAATTTAAGATTAAATAAAAGTGTCATATTTCCGGAATATTTTCAAAAGTTAAGTTGAAAAAAATAAATTTTTAATCAGAGTTTGCTATTTTGAATGCCCCCTGTAAGCAGATAAAGGATCACATTTTCAAAAAATTTATATCAAATGAAAGAAAAATACCTATGATTTTAATTTAAAAAATAATTATTTTGATACGGTCATTTTTAAATAAGTTATAGCAATTTTTGAAAAAAAAAAAAAAAAAGTTTAAAAAATGTCGAAATTTACCGATTTTAAAATTTGTAATTTTTGAGGATAATTTCTTTAATTAGATACAATTTATGATTTTTTGACGTCTTGTTGAGAAAAATCAGTAAGCGGTAAACTATCAGATAAAACGCCAAGTTACTTCTTAATGAATAAAAACATGTTAAAATCGTATGAATGCTTTTTTTAAATTACTATTAATTATTATAATTAATTAAATAATAATTCACAATAAAGTTGGTAGTTCAAAATCACCATGTAGATGTTTTATAGTAATTATAATAATAAATATAGTAATAATGTTAACATTAATAATGATAATAAGTGGTGACAATAATAATATTTAGTATGACTACTTGTAATGCAAGAATAACATTAAAGGATTAGACAGCTAATTTTATTAGAATTATGCCTTCAAATTTGTGCGAGATCAATACTTTTTCTTTTAAATTATTTATGATATACAGTTATTAGCACCTTTATTTTTTCATAGAAAGTAATATTATTCAAATCAGACATTAGTGGAACTCTTTTTAAATTGATTATAGTATCTTTCATAGTTGAGTAAAAATTAAAGTTTTGGTAAAAATATAAAACTAATAATCTAATAGCCTAATTATAAAAAAAAAAAAAAATTAATTTTAAAAACGAACACACTTCCAAACTTAAATACTAGTACACAACGTACACTAATCAATATATATATTTACAATATGTGGTGTTTAGCCCGTTTTAATCTTCTGGCGTCTTGAGAATAATCATGAACTCAAGCTACAGTTTTGTTGACGAACGCAGCGTTTCTTGATACACGGGGCCCCGCAACCCGTGCCACGTTTATCAGCCGTCGCCCAACTATGTGTATATATGGTAGTTTGACTGACTAACACCGCGCGCGATACGCCACCGTACAAAGTCCAGCAAGTACCGCACGTCCGTCTACGACCCGCCGCAAATATACGTCGTGGAAGTCATCTTCGTGACACCGCCCGACACACAGCTCGTCCTTCGAGTGCGCGATATCGTCGATTTTTCTTGATATACTTAAATATATTTGTTTTGACCTGTGTAACTATCGGATTCACTTAGTGGTATAAGTACTCGTCATTTTTGTAATTGTGTTTATCATTAATAAACGGTTTGACGCCCCACCTTCTATTTCATAACACCGGTGTCGTTCATCTATCATGCTTACGACATGAGTCGTAACAGAATTTTATTTGAAATGTTTTAAAAACACATTCAACTAATAAAAATTTAGGCGTTTATTTAGTTTCTAAATTTGTTTTGCAAAAAATGACTTCTGAAGAGAGCATTTTTCATACGTTTTAGCGTTAATGATAGTTATCGATACTTTTTACCCTTATTTTATGGGCTATAAAAATTCCCAAAATATTAGATATTATTTTTATGATGGTGGCGTTTTTTTTTTTATTTGTCTGTCCAGTGAAAATTTAATAAGATACCTCAAAATTACACTACCATAAAAAAACCGTTTTCTGTATTTTAACACTACTATAGCTTAAAAAATAATTGATTTTAAAAATATTTAATATAAGCTTTATTTTAATATAATTTTTATAAAAATATATTTTATAAAATATTAAGTACAGAATGGATTTAAAAAAGACCACTCATGTATTTAAAAAAATCTTTTCAGCTCAATTTTTAAAATGTTGAAGACCATCTGAAAACCTCTATGTCAAATTAAAGTACTTGAAGTATACTACAATATTTATTAAAAAAGCATCCCACGATTCTTCTAATATGAGAAATCAGTCGTCAAATTTTCAATTTGTAAAAGTCGACATTTTTTAAAACTTTAAACTGTCATAACTTTTTACAAAATGGATGAATCAAAATAAATATTTTAATAAATATCTTAGTTATTTTTCGTCAATTTGCTATACATTTTTTATATAAAGTATACACAATTAATCCCTTATTTGACAAAAAATAATAATAATAATAATAAATAACACAAAGAGAACACAGCACAGCATACGGGAATTAGCGTATATTTCAGTAGTTATTATATCACTGCGGATCTTGGAATATTTTGAACTTATCGTCAGTAGCGGACGGTCTGTGTTTTAGGTTATCATGATTTATAATCAGAATGAGACATTTGTTTTAGATTTGTATATTATTTTTAATTTTGATAAGAAAAATGTTTATCATTAATTGGAAATGAACACAAATTTTACTGTTATTTTTAAATTATAATATATTTTTTTAATTTATCAAGATAATGATATAAACTTTTTCCAATAAAAATGAGTTGTAGTCATATCAAACAATATCATCATTCCTTAAAAAAATTTACTTTAATGTAAAAAGAAGACTTGTTCATGAAACAATAATTGCCTCTGTGATTGTTCAATAACAGTGAATTTTACTCAAGCATAATATTTTTTTGTAGAAAGGTATAAGATACCTTGTTTAAATTTTCGTGAATGTTAGTTATAATGAGTTCATTGCAATCAATTTTTTGTGTCTTCTATAAAATTTACTTTTTGCGACATGTCTCCTTTCAAAACTCAACAATTCATTTAAAAAACATATTTTAAGCTTTAATAAAATACAAAAATTTGCTTTTGATTGATTATCTCCTTATTTCAATGTTCATAAAAATAATTTATATTCTCTGTTGCACAACAACACTTTTACTCATAAGGACAATTTAAAAGTCTTAAGAATTATATTTTATTTTTCTAGTGTTAATATTATATTCCAAAAGCTTATTCTACCGTCTTCAATGTAAAAAATAAAAATTTTCTTTTTCTTCTGTTCTAATGTTTAAAAAAATAAATAAACATGGACTCTCCAAATTGGGATAATTAAAAAATTCTACTATTTAACTCTCATAAACAAATGTTTCCAACATTAAGCTTAATTTTTTATAATAATTTTCTAAAAAATAGTGTCATACGAATATTAGAAACTCGAAAATTGAAATAAATTTGACGGCCATACATAATCCCCAAATATTTTTTTACACAAATAACTCTTAAGTACTTGATAACACAAGTAAAATAAGTTTTTAGTTTAAAACAAATATCTATTGATAAGTGTTATTTTTTATTTTAAAAATAAGACCTTTATTCTTATATAAAAAAAAGAAATTAATATTTTCTTTACACTTTATTTACAAATAATTAATTGTAATTTAAATTATTTTACATAATTCTTAACTTATAATATTACAATATATGCTTAATTAGACTATAATTAGATGTATTGGCACTACATCAGATTTATATATTGCAAATCTTTGGTTTTCATGATGTCGTACGGCTTCTTTATTTATAGTGGAATATGAAACAAATCGATNGGCACTACATCAGATTTATATATTGCAAATCTTTGGTTTTCATGATGTCGTACGGCTTCTTTATTTATAGTGGAATATGAAACCAATTCGAACTAAATATCATATACTATGAATATCAAATCATTGATAGTATTTAAACACCGTGAAACTGCAGTAAAAAATGTTATTAGCCATGAAGTTACTTTACAATAATAATGGTATCATGCTGGAAACTGGGGTAAACAATTACAAGCTTAATTCATTTTCCATTTCTTAAGCATGTATTTGAAACAATTTTTAATTTTGATCTGAAAATCCGATAAAATAGAAAATAAAAAATTTTTATAGTATTTTATGAAAATGTAGACATAAGTATAGCATAATTTTATCTTTCAAACAATGAATATTAGAAAATACTATTATAGCTCAGTATAATGCATTAGCTACTATAAAAATTAATATGTTATGTATGTGACGTGCAATGTCAAATAATAATATGAGATGAATTTTTTCTTTTCAAAGATTTTCAATATTTTACACGCATAAGTTAATCAAAAAAAGTAAGTTTGTCCTCTTTTCTCTTCTTTTCACATAAAACTGAATCAAATATAATATTGTTAATGGAAACATACATGTTTAACTGGTTCATAATAAAATTATTTTATTAAGAAAATCACTAAACGATAACAATTTTTAAATCATTATTTTGGAAGTCATTGTTGAATTTGTTTATTTAATTTAATTATATCATTCAATATAATTTGTTTACCCTTTCTAATTCTATAACTTGGTCAGAATTTATGTTTTGGAATATCTTTTTGAGAAAATTTTCATTTTCTATTAAGATTTGATTGAATAGTAAGTGTTCTTTTCCTAAAACAAACGTGTTTGTATTAATATGTTGTTTCATACTGATTAAAATTAAAAATAACTATTCATTAACTGTAATATTTTATACTATACTATAATGATTTTATAATAAATAAAATAATTTAGTTAAGTTTAGTAAATATTTTAATATAGTAGTATTTTTACTACTCACTTTCTTCGAAATACAATTCTTATTAAGTCTGAAATGGGTGCATCGACGAACAAATACAATACAGCAGCAAACAAATAGCTCTTAAATGTATCATAAATCCAAGCATGTATCTATTAATGAAAATTATTGAGTGTCAATCGTTATTTAATAAAGACGGCATTTAACACTGTACTGTTATCTGACCAAAATGAATTATTAAAGAGGTTTACATTAATTTTTTTGTCGGAGCTCACCTTATGAAATTTTGATTTCAAATTAAATATTCTAAGTGTGGTAAGCGCTCTTGTGAAATATTTATTGTAGGAAATAATTTGTTTGTGATTATACTATTTAATTTAAAACTTAGTTGTGTTGTATAGGACTTTTCTTTAAAAAAGTAATGAATTATCTGTTTAATATTTGTCACAAAATTCATTATTAAAATTCCTTTTGATTTATTCAACCTACCAGTAATTACATAATTTTGTGTTTGAAATTATTTAAAAGAGTTTAAAAGTTATATGTCATTAAACTTATCTATATCCTCTTTCATAAATTTATAATAATTCATATTAAACGATCAGCATAATCCATAAATTGTTCTAAATCATCATTTTAATCATATTTAATATTTTTTCCTCAGAGGGAGGAAGAGTACGGCGGGCAAATGTCTAGTCATATTATCCACTCCACTCACTCATTACCATCAGCCATTACTTTAAATTGTCAACAACTGAAATAGTGGTTCAAAAATGTCTATGAACCCCATATTTTCTTTATTAGATCATTATCTATTAAATAAGCTAGTTAATTATGTGCGTTTCTACTTGAAAAAGATTTTAAAAATTAGAAAAAGTAATTTTTTAGGATAGCATAATTTCAAGATATTTTTTTAATTTCTAACATTGAACGTTTTTCAAATTTTTTTATATTTTCATTGATCAACTCAATTAAAATCGATCTTTATGACCGCTTAAATCAATAATTGGTTTAATTGAGAACTGAGAATTTTCATGGACAATCCTTTTCAGCTTCACATCGAAATTGAAATGTAGTTTTCATTGTTTCATAGGTTAAAATATTCCATTTAAAATGTGATTATAACAAATATTGAAAAATAGAGTGATTAATAATTCTTTGAAAACATAAGAATATCCATACAATTTTTTTAAATAATAGAATTATATTTGTAGATTGAAATACTAAACATACCATAGTTTAATACCCATTGTATCGATCGATCATCCTTCGGGAAACGATGGTAACTGATTTTTGGTTTTTTCTTTTATTTTTACAGATATTAATTAAAAACACACTTATTTCACCGTAATGTGCTCATATTACAATGATAATCATATTAATAATAGTAAAAATAAATAGTGACCAAAATATTGTACTCTTTTACGTGGTATATAATTATTTTAAGATCTCACAAAAAGTGCTAAATTTTTTTTTTAATCATGTTAAGTTTGTACGAACTATGAATTCACGAAATGTATTAAAAAAAAATTTTCTCTCAAATGTAATATGAATATACATTTAAAATTTATTGGTAAAAGGAATTATGGAGTATTCAAAAAAAAAATTGATTTTAAATTTATGCAACAATATAATGTAGATGAGTATATATTGAGAGCAGATTAAATTTTTTTTTTATTACGTAATAATAAATGCCTATTGATAATACTTGATATTTTGGAAATTTTATATATAATACTTCAATTTAATGTTTATGAGCATGAATAATATTAAAAAATAATTAAAAATTCAAATCGGAGTTATTAAACCTAAGTACTTGTTTATTATACGTAGGTAAATTTAACGGAATATTATTCTAAAATAAATTAAATATTTGATACGGACTTAATAAAAATAAAACCATTTATGCACATCATTTATACATAGTTCATTGTAACATATTTTATTATTATATTAAATGTATTAATTACATATCTTGATATAGGTTCAATCCATGCCAAATCATCTAGAAGTTGTCGCATAACTGCCTCATTTTCTCTTAAATTATCAAGGTTGATATTTATACTATATTTAGATTAAATGAATTTTTTTTTATGACCTTCCCATTTTTATGGCTATTTCAATGTAAAAAATGTTAAAAATAGCCAGAACGTTACAAAAACACAGATTATTCAATATTAACTTAATTGAATTAAAACTTTAGAATTGACCTTTTTATAACTTAAAGTTTAAACAAAAATAAAAAAAAATTATGTGAAATTCCAAACTTTAATAATTTTCTAAAAATGGCGCTTTTTTCTATGTAAATTGACATTTTTGAGCTCAACTAAAACCATTAAGAATTTATTATTTTATATTAATTTTCAAATGTGGTATTTTATATTGTATTATTTATGTTTTAAATAAATTTCAAATTATTAAAACAATTTTCTTGGGATTTAAAGGCCTATAAAGTTAGACATTTTATAAAAATACACGTATTCTAAGCCGATCTCAAGTAGTTGGAATTAAGGCGAGGAAGAAGAAGACACATTAATTCTAATTTTATAAATCTATTTTATATTACTGGTATTACTGGAGTTTTGGTATAACTTTTGCAAAATCTAAACGTAATAATTTAAGAGATTTATTAGATATCTCTAAAGATAAAGTAGAAGAAAGGGTAAAATCGGTAATTTATAAAATACAATGTGAAAATTTTAACAAATATTAGGTAGGACAAACCAAAAGAAATATAGGGGTTATATTTAAAAAATACTTAAGAAACAAGAAGATGATAAATCTCTTGTGGCTGAAAATTTATTGACATATAATCACTTCATTTAAACAAAAAATTAAAATTATAAATAATTACATAGAACTTAATATAAGGCAATGTACAAAAAAAGAACAATTAAATTAATTAGGATCTTAAAGTGATTAGGATCACTGAAAAATTTCTTTGAAATTAGGTCCCCCAGAAGAAATAATGCACCTATAATTCGTATCTTCTTCTTCCTCGCCTTAATCCCAACTACTTGGGATTCACACATCTAAGATTTCAATATAAAAAAAATTATTATAATTTGTTCATTTTCAAAAAGTTATGGCAGTTTTCAGTATTAAAATATTTCATGTTAAACAGTGATTTTTACATAAAAATTAAATTTTTTTTAAATTTGACGGCCATTTTCCTATAGAAAAAAAGGTGACGGGATAATTTTTTTTTTTTTTTTTTACTTGTAGTATTTATTGTAAGCTTTAATTTGACATATATTTAAAAGACGCAGTATTTCCGGAACATTTTCAAAAGTTAGGTTGAAAAAGTTCTACTATTTATACGTATGTTTCAAGTTTTAAACTCCCTCTGTATAAAGTAAAATAGTCCAATTTAAAAAAAAGTATGCTAAATGAAAGAAGTATATATAAGGTGATTCATTAAGGATGAGACACTCGTTTACTCAGATACTATTGAAAATTTTTAGTTTTTAGTAAGGAAAATATTGTTTGATTCAAAAAACACTACAATAATATGTAGTAAAAACATGATATTTTTCATCCCTTCAAGGTTAAAAAACATTAACTTGAGTTTTTTTTAAATGAGAACACATATTTTGAATTTAACAAAATGTTTTTAATTTAATAGCAATTGGCATTTGAATTTTTAATATAACTTTATTCGTTTATTAGATATAAACACTTACTTAAAGTTTCAAATTTTGAGTTAATATACATGCATAATACACAAGGGATTACAAATACAGGTCGCTAAATGGTTTTTATGATAATACATTATACAGGGTGATTCGCATAATGTATTTAAAAAAAAAATTTTTTTTGATACATACATTATTCAAAAAGTTATAGCAATTTAAAGTTGAAAATTAAAACATCCAAAATTTTAACATAAAAATAACATTTTTTTTACAACGGAAGCCGTTTGCACGTAGAAGGTAAGGTGTCTGGAAAATTTATTTTTTCATTTTATAGTGCGTGACATAATATTTAATTTGATATATATTTAAAGGATGTAGTATTTCCTGAACATTTTCAAAAGTTATGTTGTAAAAGCTAGTTTTTGTAAAAAAGTTGACTTTTTAATTCCCCCTGTGAGCAGGTTAAGTGTTAGATTTTTAAAAAAATAATATTAAATAAAAGGGAAATATCTAAGGTTTTAATATAAAAAAAAAATATGTTGATTTGTTGATTTTTGAAAAAGTTATGGAAGTTTTAAGAAAAAAAAGTGAAAAAAACGTTAATAATTACTGATTTTTGAAAATATAATTTTTTTGGAGATTTCCCCCATTTACGGGGAACGAAGGAAATGGTTATTAACCAATTACCGATATGAAAATAAACAGAAAACAAACTGAGCCGACAGTTAGATACAACTTGGACCCGTAACTATCGTTCCGAAGATTAATTTTGCAACAAATTCAAAATGTTAGCAAAAAACTATAGCTTTTTTTTTATATTTGTTTTTTTAAATTATACAACAATCCATGAAAACCTTTACACAAATTATTTTGCCATCAAAAATTTAGATAAGTGGTCAAAATTAATCACTTTAACACCTCAAAGATTAAACTGATTGTGCATAATTTTAATAAATTTCATTAAAACTAAATAAATCGACTGATTAAAAATGATTATTAATATTACTTTTATTTGCAAATTATTATTATAACATGATAACTTACCAATGTTTGATAAGAAGAATGCAATATTTTCCTTTCTGATCCCGTTGAAATCGTCATCACAATAAGATTAACCAAGTAGACACAATACGAAAGGCGACCCAATGGAACAACAAAGCGATTATTTGTTATCTTCCCTGCAGGACCTGATTAATAACAGAACTAATAAAACATTGGGTATTTGTATTTTTTTAAATTACGTGGATCATTTGATAGGTATGAGCATCGGTTTAATAGATCGTGACGTATTTGAGAATACATCGTATAAAGGTTATCGCAAGGTCCTTCAAATCTATACAATAAAAAAAATTACCAAATCCTCCTGTAGATTCGCAAATAGATGCCCAGCATCCAATTATGGGCCACGTGCAATGGCTGATACTTGCGTACAGAGCATTTTCAATCGCGCTATAAGGTCTATGTCTTTGGTAAAATTTTGATCCGTAGAACTGAATCCACATAGCTATTACAGTAATAGAAAATATCCCTATGTATGCTGTAGTCTACAAAAATAATAAGATTATAAATACTTTGTATTATTTTAAAGTATTTACTAATGGATTTACAGGTGACATTTTAAACTTAATTTCCTTTAATTTTTCAATCAAAAATGCCATTGCTAATCCAACTAAAAACGGAGTTGCTCTCAAATAACTAGGTTTATAAGCTTTATCAAATGTTATTGAACTTCTTGGATTCAATAAAAATCTAAAAAATTATTTTATATGATTAATTGATTTCGAACATTTACATTACTTGTTCAAACATAATTTTTTTCTGAATACCAAAAAAATATTTTATTAAGTATACTTAGAGAGTAAATTTGTCAAAATATATAACCGAATAATATTATATATATAAATATATTAATATGATATTTTTACATTTTACACTAATATACTTTTCGATATGAAATAAAACTATGTAATGATTTTTCGTAGTGCAAGTAGTTTCTCCGATGGTATATTAAACTTATAATTAACTCCAAGATACTAGCTTGTATTATTCTCATTAAATGGATAATGTTTATGAGAAAATGGTAGTCTGTGACTAAGTCTTAAATCCATTACAGATCTAAGTTTACAATAATATCTAAATTTTCATGATAACTTATTGTTTTTCAATATTAAACAATACAGAACTAATTATGTCTATTAATTTTATTATAATATTAATCAGTTTTTTTATAAATTCGAATAATTCTTAACATTTAGATATTAATTTAATTTTTTTGTTATAAAACTATTTCTGAGTAATTATTTACAATATTTTTAATTCTATTTCAATTTTAAAATAGTTATAATTAGAAATAAATTTTATTTCTGATAATATTATGATAATTTAGTACAAATATTATTGAAAAAAGATTTTTTACTTACGGTACATCAACTTTAAGTAACCCATCTAATTTTTGTGTATATGTGACATAAAATGGAATTAGTAAGGAAATAATTAAAAAAAAACTAAGTATTCCAATTCCGATCTTCCGATTTCTTGTATATATATATCCAAGTATTACACCAATGATGTAAAATTGCACATCACATGATATATACCAGCTAGCGATGAGACACTAAAATACACAAATATTATTATAAATGTGTCTGAAATTCCAGTGAGCTCTATGAAAATTTTATTTTCATATGAGTGTTTTAAATAATATTTTTATAAGAGAAATTTTATCTCTTCTAACTTAACTTCTAATATGCAATATTTATATTCTTTTTTACAATTATTAAAGGTTATAAAAAATAATACTGCCTAGCTTATAAAGTCAATCATAGTATTTAAAAACCTAAAAATTCGCTTTTCAATCATCCACTATTAAAAAAACCAGGCTTACTAAAAATATAATGGAGTTTTTATATCTTTCATGAGTTATGAAGATAGAAAGTTGAGAAAAGTAATAATAAAGTATTAAATAAAAAAATATCTTTAATGATTAAAGAATAATTGCATATTTCAGCGTGAAAAATTAACTTTAAAGTAAATATTTGATGCTAAAAATATTCCACCAAAATTATATTATAATCTTACCTGATATTTGCTGTCAATAAAATTGTTAATGTATAACAAATTTATCCACCAATATTCATTACAAATATCTGCTTCATTCCATGTGTTTTGCTTCCAAAATGGTCCATCTCCGAAATGAGGTAATATTTGCGCGGTAAAAGCAATAACGGCAACATAAGACGGTAACATTCTAAAATAAATTATTATTATTATAATAAGTAGGGATAAAAAAATTGTGCATAGAAAACTACACTATATATATTAATAATATTATTTGTCTAAAAACTTTGTATTGCGCACTTGTCCGTTCAGGTATTGAATACGGATCCATAATTTAGAACCCTTACCAAAATATTTTGATTCAACGTTTCAATAATGTTCAACACAACTTCTTAAAATACTTGTCACTTAAGTTTAAATTAAACGTTTCGATTAATAACTTAGAACATGAACTAGANATTAAACGTTTCGATTGATAACTTAGAACATGAACTAGGTTTGAATTCTCTTACGTCCAGACGTAAATTCAATGATACATCATTTATATATAAATTATTAAATAATAAAATAAGTTGTCCTCAAATACTCAGAAAAATATATGGCATGTTCCCGTTTTCAATGCTCGTTCCACGACTACATTTAATATTCCTTTTCATTCTCAATCTTACAGTTTCAACGAGCCTTTAAGTCGCATGTTAAGAGAATGTAATAGTATAGATGTCGATTTCAATTATGACAATGAAACTAAACTTCGTTATTTAAGTCTAAATTCTGTATAAATATATTATATGTATATATTAATTTAAATTTAATATCTTTTATATTCTATGTATTCTGTTGTATGTTTTATTCATTCTTATTATGTAAATTGTTTATAAACATGTATTACTAATGTACACTCTTTGCCCGAAAGGGTGTTAATAAATTAATAATAATAATAAAATAATAGAAAACTACACATTAAAAATTCAATAATTTTTTTAAAATACTGTTATAACTGAAAAATTCTCCCCAATAATTACTTCAAAATTTAAAATTTAGATGAAAATATTTTTAAAAATTGATAAAAATATAGGGTGACGACACCAATCATTGACAGTTTAACAATCTTTTTAAGGTTTTGAAATGCGGATTTAAGTTCCTTTAAATTGTCCCTGACATAATTCAAAAATAGACAAACAATTGAAAGTATAATTAGTTATTTATAATATATCAAACACTTTTACCGAAGGCTAGTTATTGTGCCCATAACTTTTGTTATTAACCTACTAACTAACATATAGACAACAATTTTAAAACATTAACACTTAGTAGACCTAAATGAAATTGATATCTATAAAAATATTAATTGATAAATATTAACTCGCTTCATAATATCGAGCAGTGGATGTACAAGCGCAGTCTAAGGCATTCGACCCTTAATCTTCCTAACCATATCTTAAAACCAGTTGTACGAAATTTAAGAACTGATTTTCGATTTTATTTGACTATAAGAAATTTTTCCAAAATAATTTGATTTATAACAATTTTATTTATGAAGAGATAATTTTAATTTATCAATATAACATTAGAGAGATACATAAATTAATAAATAATTATAAAGTAAATAGAGAATAATTTTTATAAAATTTCAGTGGAATAACTTTTAATAAAATTTAAAAATATCTAAAACGCATTTAACGAAAAAAATTTTATCAATGCTATTAAATGCTATAAGTACAATAAATACATTTATTCATAAAATAAAAAAAATATTAAAAAAAATTCACCAAAAATGTTACATTTGAACTCTGTGGTGGTATATGAATAGATTTCATAATTGACGAGTTATAAATTGTATTTTCTACATTAATAATAATAATAATGAAAATGCTACAATCTTCTATTCCTAGTTATCAATGGTGTTTTCGTGAAAAACTTTTTTTTTAGGATATATATGTTAGTTTATGAACGTACACCCTTTCTTCTTCTTCTTCTTCTTCTTCCTCCTCCTCAACTACTTAGAATCGGCCATCTTTATCCTAAACTTCCACTTGACACGATCTTCAACATCATCTAAACTCACATCAGCTGTCCTCATATCGTATTTAATAACATCCCTCAATTTCTTTTTTTCAAACTTTTCTTATTTTAACATTCATTTGTATAACTATTTTTACAGCCTTTGATTCCTCTCTCCTCATAACATGATTAAACCATCTAAGTCTATTTTCTCTCATCTTATCCATGATTGACGCTACACCTATAATCTCTCTTATTTACTCATTTCTTATCCTATCTTCTCTAGTCACTCTACTCATCCATCTATGTATTCTCATCTCTGCTACACTCAATCTCTGCTCTACTTTCTTATCAACCGCCCAACACTCTGAACCATACATCATAGCTGGACTCACTACAATCTTGTAGAATTTACCTTTCAGCCTCGTTAGAATTCTTTTATCGCATAAGACACCAGACGCTTCTCTCCACTTCAACCCCCCGCACTTAATCCTGTGTCTTACATTCTCGTCAATACTCAATGCTCTTTTGCACAACTGATCCTAAATACTTGAAACTTTCCACCTCTCCAATCACGTCTTTTTGCTCTTCTGCCATACTTTGAATTGCTTTTTCTTACTATGATTTTTTGAACGTCCTCATCCCACCACCCGGTTTCCTTGTTTCATGGCATTCTACTCCTACTCTCACCAACAATCTCCTTTGCAATATTCTTAACACAACTAGCAATATAATTAATATATAAATATTAGTTTTTTAGGGTATACTCACGTATACTCTCCCAAATATCACTGCTAATTATTGGTTCAGGCTAAAAAAAGCCGGCTTAGTTCAGTCAAGAACAAGTTATGCCTCGATTTATAGAAACTGAAGGAAGAGTCCAACACTGAAATAAATAATTTAATTTTATAATTTTATAGTTTAATTTGATAGTTTAACGAACCAATGATTGACGAATGTCAAATATTAAAAAAGGATATATCATAAAGAATTTTTTTTAACATAATAATTATTTTAAGAGAAATCGAGTAGATAAGAGTGGCTAATGAGTATTTATTAAAAAAATTACGCTGTATTTTGATGTATTAATTTTTAATAAACCATTGATAGCTAGACCATTTTTAAGAAGGGTAGCATCTTCATTTAATATATTTTTTGAATTAACATTAAAAGCTGAAACATTTTTATTACGAACACTTAAATAATTTTTTTTCATTTTTAAGGAGGTATTAAATGGGGTACTTTCTCCCTACAGACTTTGTGTAAAAACTCCAACAAGCTAACTGGAAAAACGAAGACATTCTTGTCAGCTTTGACGTTGTCTCCTTATTTACAATAGTACCTGTAAGGGACATATTGAACACTATAAAATAGATGAAAAACTTCAAGGCCTACTAGAAATATGCACCAATGCAACAGTTTTCACATATCAACACACCATCTACGAACAAATTGATGAAATGGCAATGGGATCAAAAGTAACTCCAGTATTTGGTAACACATTCATAGAAATATTTGAAGAAGAAGCAATAAGCACATAATACTCAAAAACACAAAATGTGGTATATACACAAAACATTCGTTTTATGACAACACGGAATAGATCAACTAAAAATTTTCTTGCAACATTTAAACAGTATACATGCCAACATACAGTTCACAGTGGAAACCGAAAATACCAAAGTAATTGTCGTTATTGGATGTACTGGAAAAAAATAGCCCATTCGAAAATTCGACACGGCAGTGTACAGAAAAAGTACACACATTGACAGATGTAAATATGCCAATTCACACCACTATCCCACACAAAAAATGGGGATACTACATACAATGGCGACAAGAACTGTTAGAATAGCTGACGAAGAACATGTGGAAGAAGCTTATTTTAGCAAACGGATGTACATGAAAGTAGTAAAAATCGAAAAATGTCTAGAAAATTACAACAGAAAACATTGTTTATTAGAAAGACTTGGTTATCTATTATATACCAAGCAAAAAGAAAATAACTTAATGTATGAAAAAATTAAAATTAACATAACAGAAAATTGCCAGTGTAGAAAAGAAGAGCTAAATTCCAAGAATGCCGTAAAAAACAACAAAAACCAGATATAAATAACAAACTGACAGTTGTTAACAATAACACGACAAAAACCACAACAGATAAACAACATAGAATTTATCAGTTATCAACTGATGTAAAAACATACCGTAAACAAGCAAAATCGTCAGTATAGTTACAACCACAAGCCTTTAACTATCGCCCTGAAGGTGGAATCTGCAACGAGTCCGAAACGTATTCATATCAAGATAACTTCCCATCCAAAAATTATTTGTAATCCCCCCTGTGGGCAAGTCAAAATAGTAAAATTAATATCTTCTTAGCTTTATATTGAAGCTAAAACAAATTAAAATATACATATTGTTATGTAAATATAAACATAAACTAATTTTAAAACTATTCTAGTGATTTGAAATATTTATTTGACTTATAGATATATTATTTATAGTATTCTTACTTAAAATTAAATTTTAGCGATTTATTTCGTCTCAAGAATTTAAATAATCACTTTATTACTTAATTGTTAATTGTACGAGATTTAAGTTATTTCGTACCTTAAAATTCTATATACAAACGGCATAAATAATTTCATCCATAATGGCTCTTTACTATTAAATGTTGAATGTAACATTACGTATGTTAAAAATCCACTCATAAAAAAAAAAGGATCAACCAAATTCATACTGGTTAACAAAATAGGTAATCCATCTTTATAAATCTAAAAAAAAATATTTAACAATATTAATTACATGTTACTGTAAAATGAATGACCGAGAAAAAGTATTTCAATTTTTCATTCGCGTAATAAATTTTATAATTATCCATGTATGATTATAACAACAAAATAATTAAAATACTGTTTTTATTTAGCAAACCTCTATCAAAATAACTCAAATATTTCGTTATTCTTTTGCACTTACATATTCAAAATTTTCTGGGGTACTTAATGGGATATTAGTCAATTTCATAAAGCGATGACCAAACAGTATAAATATCATTGTAAATACTTTATATCCGTTGAAATGATTCAATTCATTGTTTTTATCATATGATAATAATTCCTTGCCATTTTTTATTACTGAGAATGCTAATATAATTCTTTGATTCTCATCTACAAAAATTGAAAATACGATACTTGTAAAATTATAAACAATAATATTTCACATTAATAGTAATTTTGATTACTTTTCTTTTTGGTATCTTTATAATCGAACAGTATTCTAAAGTGATAAAATGTTGCACAGCAACAAAGAAAAAATATGAAGTAGAAAATAATGCTGAAAGTTTATAAAATAATTAAATGAAACAATAAGTATTCATTTTTTCTTTTAATTTAAAGTAAAAAATAAATCATAAGAATATAACACTTAATAACCCTGGAATAATTCATTTGATTTTTTAAATATTTTTACCTGATAATGTAATACCAATGGGTTGTATGGTATTCATCATTACTTGTAGAACACATTGTAGGTTTAACTGTAACGACTGTTTTCACATTTTCTGAAAGAAAAACTTCATCCAACTTCATTTGTAAAGTGTTTTGTAAATCAGTGAATGAACAAGATGAAGGTATACAAATTCCAAAATTAACCTGATTCCGAGCGCTTTGGTCATGGTAATCAACCCACTGTAAAGAATATTATTAAAAATATAGAACAGATTTTTTAATAAATCATTACTATTCTTAATATTCATTAAAGATTTTTATTTTTATGTTAACGTATTACCCCAAGGATTTGATGCCAGGCATTATGATAGCTATTGATATTTTCAGATTCAAATTTAGAAAAATCTCTCATTGATGGCGCTGGAAATATTACAATGTCTGATAAACAATATTGAGCACGAATTGGATTATGAATATTAATACATTCATCGTAAACACCCATTTGATAAACATCTCCATTCAAAATGCCAGTTGGATACTTGTTCCAAGATTCTAACACTAAAAATAAGCAGATGTTTTAATATAAGATATTTATTTAATAAATTAAGTAATGAATGTTAAGAGATTTGATTTATTATATAGTGTTGTAATATTCATCAATACATTTTCAAAAAGTTACTTTTACATTAATGTGTTCATTTTAAAACAAATAATTGATTAATCTGAATTTATTTTAATAAATTAAAATCGATTTTTACAATACATGTAATAAAAATAAGTGTGAATAATATGTATACAGTGTATACTATACACATTACATAACTTTTACTAAACTTAAATAGTTTAAATATATTGTCAACAAATAACGGAGGTGCAAGTCATTAACTATATATAAATTTATATAGAAGCAATTTACAATGTAAATTTTCAAACTATACCAGATCTATAAAAGTAATGAAAGTTAATGTTCACTTTTTTACGTTTTTTTATGTATAAGTGAATGTATAAGTTAGAAAAATNATGTAAATTTTCAAACTATACCAGATCTATAAAAGTAATGAAAGTTAATGTTCACTTTTTTACGTTTTTTTATGTATAAGTGACATAAACAAACATGCGCAATAATTTTCCGTTAAGTTAGAAAAAGAAAATCTTTTTGAAAAGTTTTAGCGTAACAAAATTATTGTTTGTGTTTCCTGGAAGTTTTTAAAAGAGTACGTATCTAATTTTTAATTCAGTGTTATCAATTGCATATTTAGATGTATAATTTCATTTATATAAAATTATTACATATCAAAATAATGAGTTAAAATAATCTAAAAGCTACTTAATATTATTGAGTTGGCGTATAATTAATTTATAAACATTAAATTGACATTAAATCAGTTATCTGGAAACCATTACATGTTATATTCATCAAATTTTTGAAAAATAAGTAAACTTTACATAGTTTTCTTATTTACAATTGCAAAAAACGGCATATTTTCTTTACGGTACTTCAAACCAAAATTATTCTATAAAAGACACAAACTTAACAATAACTTACAAAACATAACATTTTACTGATTGTCATTTTATTATTCATATATTTAACTAATGCTATTTCTAAAATAATCAATTTAATTATTTTGATTAAAAAACATACTATTCAATATCTACGTACTTTTTACTGCCCAAAAAGAGTTATTTTTCAAATGTCTGATGTACAAATTCGTTTCAACACGACATACCGTGTTGTTAGTTTGTTGCACCGAAAAGTTTGCAAACGCCTTAAAGAATAAATCCGCTGGTTGGGACGTTGGAAAAACATTGTACTTCGGAGATTGGTTGACCAATGAAATTTTTTTTATTTTTGCTATTGCAGTCTGAGTATTATTTTTTAATAAATGTGAGCTTGATACTTTACAATTAAAAAAACATAATACTACTAGCTGCACTAAGATAGTTATAACCATCGAGATAGTCCGATTAGAAAATATTCCAAGCATTTCTGCTCTTATTCTGAAATTCTGAATACTTTTTGTAATTATTCGAGCAATATAAATTAGTGACTGAAGATAGCTAAGCAATTTGGTTGATAAATATAACTAAAGCCTTGATAGACAACTATGTAAAATTTGACATTGTGTGTTTTAATTATTTTTACGCATTAATATGGATATCGATAAAAATACATTACAATTTAATAAACAGACAAAATATTTTTTTTATAAATTAATGTAATTAAAAATAAAATCAACGCCTACTAAGGTTATGAAAGCAATATATTATCTTATGAGTTATTTTTTAGAAATAAAATAAAATACAACAATAAATAAAACAATATAATTATTTATTAATAAATTATCTAAACCGATGACTTTATTGTTATTTGCTATTGCAGATTAAGTATTATTTTTCAATAAATTATAACTTGTTTTAGAACATAATTTATTTTCAAACTTAATGTAGGTACTACAGAGTGTAGTATGATTTTTTTGAAAATGGCGTATTGTCAATAAAAAATGAATCAAATATCAAATTTCAATGAATTTCGATTTTGTGGTCAAAAATGACATTTAGGAAATGATCATTCTCAGAGTTTCAGCATAAAGTGACTCATTCATTAAATTTGACGAGTTGAATTCGATAATCACTAGCCACAGATGTTTCCGTTAATATTAGCGATAAAACGTTTAATTTTTCTCTTAAATTCTTAAATTGTCAACCGAAACTCAAAAATTGATCATCGGGACTTTTATCATATCAAATCTAGTTCAACAATATATACTATAAAAATATTAGAAATTAATTGATTTTAATTGTTTGTATAGATAAAGCTGATTAAGATATTTTTTATTTATTTAATGAATTTTTTTTTCAATTTTTGAGGGTAATATCTTTAACTAGCATATTTTTGAATACGGTAGGCATTTTCAGCAAGAATAAAATCTATATTTCGAATTTTTTTTTTTTTTCATAGTAAATAGTACCTTATATAATATAAGCTTTAATTTAAGATTAAATAAAAGTGTCAAGATTTCCGAAACATTTTCAAAAATTCAATTGAAAAATCTTAACTTGTGTGCAAGAATTGTTTTTTGAATTTCTCCTACGGGCAGGTTTAAAGTCAGATTTAAAAAAATTTATATCAAATGAAAGAAAAATATCTAAGGTTTCAATATAAAAAAAATTATTTTAATTCGTTCATTTTTCAAAAAGTTATGGCAGTTTTTATATTAAAATATTTCATGTTAAACAGTGATTTTTACATAAAAAAATCATTTTCGTTAAATTCGACGGTCATTTTTCTTAAAAAAAAAGGTGTCCGGGACAAATTAAGTTTTTTGAACTTGTACTATTTATTGTAAGTTTCAAGTTTTGAACGCCCCAGTATAAAAGGAAATTGTCCAATTTAAATAAAAAGTATGTAAAATAAAAGAAGTATATATAATGTATTTAGAAGAAAATAAATGTTTCTTGATACATACATTTTTCTAAAAGTTATAGAAATTTAAACTTTAAAATATAAATTCGAAAATTAAAAATTAAAAATTTTAACACAAAAATAGCATGTTTTTATTTACTGCAGCTATCCGCACATAGAAAATAAGTCGTCGGGACAATTTTTTTTTTCATTTTATAGTACATGACACAAGCTTTAATTTGATATATGTTTAAAGGACGCAGTATCTCCGTAATAATTTCAAAAGTTAAGTAAAAAGTTGTCATTTTAAATTCTCACGTTGACAGGTAAAGGGTCAGATTAAAAAAAAAAATTACCAAATGATAGGTTAATATCTAATATATCTATTAAAAAACTCAGCACAGTGGAGTCGCGGCACAGTGGGGACGTGGCATAGTTGGTCCAAGTATAATGATATCTGACAGTGATTAAAATCACTATCATAAAAAACGCTTCGATGCAAATCTGTAGATAGTATTTAATTTTAAAAAATTGGTGAATTATTCCAAAAGCATAATGAACTCCTATTTCCTTATTTAAATCCTGATTAAGATAAAGTATGTCGAATTAAAGAGGGATATAAATATTATTTCTCATAAAAAAAATTGTATTGATTCATACACTTTTCAATAAGTTAAAGCATTATAAAGTTATAAAAAATAAAATCCAGAATTTTCACACAAAAATAGCATACAGTAGCCATTTTCATCGTAAAAACAAAATAAAGTCAGATTTTTTTTTTTTTTTATAATAAAGTATATTACATAACTTTTAATTTAAGGAGGATGAGAATGTATTAAAATAAAAATCCTAATAACACCATTGTAAATTTTTTTTTTTTTATTTCCGTTGTCACTTATTCTCAGGTCTCACTGAAGAGCGTTTTTACAAATGAGTCTCATTGTTTATTTCTTCAAGGTTGTCCTGATTTATATCAATAATTAAAACTCTTAGCTAAATCAATTCATCCATAAAACAACGACTAAATAACAGTTTTCATCTTTTTTTATTCGTATTGTTTAAAATCCTACATGCATGTGCTTTGTTACTTTATTTAGTAGAAAGCCTTGACTTTGTTTCATAATTGGCATAGTTCCATGAGCAATATATAATAAAATATTCCATTTTCAAGTTATATATAGCATAATTAATGAATAGCTATTAGCTAAATACAAGCTATAGCTTCCATTTAAGTTAAGGTTAATTATTTATTTAATCAAATAATATCAAATTCATGGCTTGTATATTATTCAATTTTATAAGTGAAGCAATGACTTTTTAGATAATGTTATTTTCAGAATAATTTTGAAAGTATCATTATAACAATTTCAAACAAAAAATTTTTAATGTAAATAAATTTATTTTACTAATATTAAATATTAAAAAATATAAATACAATATAAAACCAAATTTTGATATTATTATTTTTTAACTATTTATGTTCTTTTTAAATTGTATGCTTAAATCATAACTTGCTTACCTATATATTTTACATTTTATTTATTAATTATAAATTATTGATAATATTTATTAGTTGCTGAAAATAAAAATAAAATAAAAAATTCATGTATAATTAATAAAATTATAATTAATGTATCATTTATTTGTGAAGATAGAATTAAAAAATATATGTATAATTCAGGTTGAAATATAATTTTTAATTTTGAAAATGTAGTATACTATGATTATTTTCTTTAATAATTTAATCATAATCATTGACAAAAAACAATAAAATTGAATCTTTACCTAATTCACCAAATTTCGAAGAAAAGGCAGAATAACTTTCGAATCATGAATAACAAATACTTAAAATATCAATAAAAATTTTAATTTTATCACTTCGTTTAAATTGTATATTTAACTATTCAGAACATATTGAAAAACAATTAATGTATATTATATCTTTCTTAACAAAAATCAGTAATAAGCTTAATAAAATTATTTTAGACCAAGCAAACACTATAAAATGTTAAAAAATATTTATTTTTAAGAAAACAAGGAAATGTTTTGAATGACGAATGCTGCAAATGTGATTTTTGATGATTTTTCTATTGATGATGAAATATCTTTAAGTAATATTGATTTAAAGGTAAATTATGATATTTCGTTTTACAAACATATAATAAGTTAAAATAAAAATTGTTTATTACCTTAATATGAGTACAATTATTTTTTCTGCTAGGTTAATAAATTACAAGATATGAGAGGTTAAGAGGTTAATAATGCTATCGCCAGAAATATCATGGACTTTCTTTTTACTGATAATTTTGGTAAACTTATAACTTACTGGCCGTGGTTTAAATATTAAGAAGGGCGAAAAATAGCACTGAAACCATTAAAAATGTACAATTTTATTACCTAAGAAAATACTAAATGTCTATTGCACTATTACAATTGTTAATTCTTTGGTCCTTGGGAAATAGAACTCAATTTTGTTATTTTTTACTATGTCATAAATGTGAAAAATTACTATTTTTACATGTAATAGTAGTACGTAGAAAATGAATATAGTTATAAAATCACTCATCAATTAATTTGAATTTTATAAATATATTTTACTTATATCTCTTAAGGCAAGTAGTACACTTTGCATACCACTACGTATCCAAAAGTAATCTTAGATGACACCGGTATAACAAAAAAAAAATAATTCAAAATAATGTAGTCGGAAATGACTATGCGTCAATTTTCCCGTCAGCTGGTCTATTTATTGTAGTTAAATAATTACCACTTACAATAATATTAAGCGATCAACTTGTATTACCAAGTCGTTTACAGAAAGAACAATTTATTAACAAAACTGAATAGCAATAACGTCTTAAAGAAAAAAAATACGTAGTTTGGCGTATAAGCGCAAGGTTTTTGAAACAAAAAATGGAAAAACAATTAATGAAGGTGTTGAAAGACGGAAAGTAGATTGCAATGGTCAAGTTGAACGGCGGAACCAAACGGAACACATAATCAACAATCGACAATCAACGGCCGCACAGGCTTAGATCAAGGGCAAGGAAACAAACACACTAACCGCTGATTGTCATATTACTAGCTGATATCGTGAGAAACACGAATGATCGTCCGCTAGAGTGAGTTGCGGTATCGTACAATACTCCAGTATGCACACTCTTACAAAAAAATAATGTCGTAAATATTAATGACTTTTTTTGTGTATACATTTATTATGTTTAGTAATTTAATGCTAGTTATCATTTTCAAAATACACAAAAGTTTTAATATAACAAGTATCAATAAATCATTCACAGAGAGACATAAACATTGTAAAAAATGATACGAGATTGTATCCAAAATGAGCTTTAAAGAGTTTTTAAGAAAATTTATCGCAAAAAACATAATTATTATTACAATATTATTTTTAATGACTAAATTATTCTATAAATCGCGACATCTTATTCTTTTTCTTATTATTAATTGTACAATTGAAATGTTCAATGTATTATATATTTTTTTACTTAAAGTTTGTTAAGAAAGTATATTGCATGTTTCCTAAATGTTGTATTTGACTATTGAAGATCTCTTTTGGCCAAAAGTATTTGATTACTGCCCATTTATGGCCAAAATAAAGATAGATATTAAAACCATCTTAGGTACAATAGTTGCAGTGTCCTATAATTTCCTGCTGAGAAGCTCTAAATGAGTCTCAAAACAGACATTAGGAAATTTACAGACCGTCTCTAGACTTCCTAGATAATACCTAATCACTTTTCAATTATGGTCGAAGTCTTATTGACCGGCCTAAAACTTGCTTAAAAACGTCTCAGTGCTGTTATATAAATGTACAATTACATTATATACAGTATAATCTGTTTATCAAAATCCATTAAATTTTTTACAATGTAAAATTAATTATGCGAATATTTTTTTGGATTTTTAAAAACATTCGTTTTATCATTTATCAATTATTAAGTACATTATCGGTTTGTCTCTAACAATTTATAATAATGACTAATTATAAACATTTATTTTTTTCAATGACATCATATGTAACTAGCTTAAAAATAAAATATCCTCTAACAAAAAAATGACTGATCGATTACAACTTTTCTATCAGTAGAGAAATGTAGCACAAAAAGGATATTATAAGGTTTAAATAGCCATTACTATACAATAGAGTTAGAAATTTACAATAAAACCCAATTAATCACAAATTTTATGTAATTTAATTAATCGACATTCTATTTTTAATAATTAATTCAATAGCAAATTATACATTTTATTTTAAACTTAGAAAATTTTTCATTTTGCCCCATCTATGAAGCAAAATTAAAATACAAAACAACACAATTTTACTTTAATTATTTAAAATGATAAAATCAATGCTACTAAAATATTTAAAATAAATAATAATCAGTTTCTTGTAATATGTAATCATTTTAATGATATAAAATTATTAACTCTTTACTATTAAAATTCAACAGAATTCTATTCAGAATTATTTAATTCTATTTACTATCATATATATATATATTGGTTTTTTTGTAATAGTCTCACATAAAAATGTAACAAATAACATAAAATATTAGTTACTGTTAACTTAATAAAATATTTTGTGGAGCAAAATGAATTTTATGATATTAATCTTTAATTATTTAAATCTATATAAACAAAATTGAAAATTAAATTTAACTTTTGAAATGATTAAACTTACCTTGAATTCAATAAATTTCCTATCTGAAATCTAATTTATTAATTTATAAAATTCGTAATTCTGATAACTATTATTTTTACATCAATAGAGTAAATTAATTTAAAAGAGAAACATATATTTTTTTTATTTAAAAACACAATATAATCAAATATTTTTAACACATATTTATTTCACAATTAAAGTTAGATATTTTTTGAAGCACAATTACATTTTACTCCACATTCCCCTACTGAAATTGAAATTTGGATATGTCGATTTTTATTACTAAACATTTCCTGGATCATCTTAACTAAGTATAAAAATAATTTCTGAAGTACTGGCCTAATAGTTGTTATCAACCAGTCATTTTCTTAATTAAATCATTTTTCATATTCTAGTTAAATACGTATGTTACCAAGGATGTATCCAGGGAATGGCTAAAAAGAGCTAAATTCCCCCATTGGCCATTTACCATAAAAAAGATTATTACATTTTTTTTTTTTTTGGTATTAACCTCTATTGAAAAATGCTAGCTATGCGACTGTATGTTTCATTTAAAAAAATTAAGTTGATAGAAGGTATAAGGATCAAATAAAGATATACATGTAACTAAAAAGCTTATTTTGTAAGTTATTAAGTAGTTTATGATAAACGGATTTTCCTGTGCAATTTAAAAAAAAGTTGAGTGGTTATATTTTTTGAATTCATATTACTGACTCAACTTAGAAAATTAAAGTGAGCACCTACTAATACAATGGCGATGTTTAACGATGTTAGTAATAAATCCTTTTTTAACACTTATAGTCGCGCAGACTCCACCACAATTGTTTCAATTTTTGTGTTTTTCTGATTAAGTACATTTTCATGGTGAATACTTTTTTCCTTTGATTTGAATTGGGTTTTTCTGGAAACATTAATTATTTATAATTGAATTTTGTTTATCAAATATCATAAAAATCATACATTACAATGTAACTGATTTCATACAATTTCAAAGAATTTAAGTAAAATTAATGCATCATAAATTGTAAATATCTACCTTCTTCCAAATGCTGCTTTAATTAAGTCAGATAGAGGTGCATCAATTGTGAAATACAGCAAAGCTCCGACTAAATAACTTTTGAAAATGTCATAAATACAAATATTGATCTGCCAAATGTAAATATAATACATAATATAATTTTATGCATTAAATATATTGTTACAATATGACAACATTTAATTAATATCCCAGAAAATAAAATAAATATTAATATTTTAAGACAAGAATCAAGCAAGAAAAAAAATTAATTTTGAACACATCTATTTTAGATCCTCCATGCATAACGAAATTTACAATTCACAGGTAAAAACATTATAAAAAAAAAACTCAGCACAGGGGGGTCGCGGCACAGTGGTGACGTGGTATAGATGGATCAAGTATAATGATATCTGACAGTGATTAAAATCACTATCAAAAAAAAACGCTTCGATGCAAATCTTTAGATACTGTTTAATTTTAAAAAATTGGTGGACTATTCAATTTTTTTGCATAATAAAGTATATTACATTAGCTTTAATTTAAGATATATATAAAAGTGTCAGACTTTCCGGAACACTTTCAAAATTTAAGTTGAAAAAGTCAATTTTTTGTGAAAAAGTTGTCATTTTGAATCCCCCCCTGTAGGCAGGTAAAAAGTCAGATTTATAAAAAAAATATACCAAATGATAGGTAAAGACATCATGCATCTACAAAAAAAAGAATTATATTGATCCATACATCTTTCGAGAAGTTATAGCATTATAAAGTTAAAAATATAAAAAAGAATTTTTTTACAAAAATCGTATTTTTTTTATTAAGTTTAATGTCTGTTTTCACCATGAAGATAAAATAAAGTCCGAAATTTTTTTTTACCATTATAAAGTATATTACATTAGCTTTAATTTAAGATATATATAAAAGTGTCAGACCTTCCGGAACATGTTCAAAAGTTAAGTTGAAAAAGTTAATTTTTTTTGAAAAAAATTTATGTTTTGAATCCCCCCTGTATTTAGGGAAATGGTCCGATTTAAAAAAACAGTATGTCGAATGAAAGATCTATATAAATACTACTTCTCATAAAAAAATTGTAATGATTCATACATTTTTCAAAAAGTTATAGCATAATAAAGTTAAAAATGGAAAATACAAAATCGAAAATTTTCACACAAAAATAGCATTCGGTAGCCATTTTCACCATGAAGATAAGATAAAGTCCGAAATTTTTTTTTTTCATGATAAAGCATATTACATTAGCTTTAATTTAAGATATATATAAAAGTGTCAGACCTTCCGGAACATTTTCAAAATTTAAGTTAAAAAAATTAATTTTTTGTGAAAAAGTTGTCATTTTAAATCCCCCCTTGTGGGCAGGTTAAGGGTTAAATTTATGAAAAAAATATACCAAATGAAAGGTAATGATATTATGCATCTATATAAAAAAGAATTATATTGATATGTTTATTTTTGAAAAAGTTATGGCACTTTTAAGTAAAAAAAATTGAAAAAATTTCGAAAATTAGCGATTTTTAAATTTGTAATTTTTTTGGAGGTTTCCCCCATTTACGGGTAACGAGGGCATTTTTTTCAATTTTTGAGGGTAATGTCTTCGACTAGATACAATTTGTGATCTTTTGACGTATCATTGAAAGAAATTGGTTCGGTGAGAGCTGAGAAAAAGTGGTAACAGACACAAAAAAAAAAAACACATCTTAGTAAAACCAATACCTTCTCAGCTTCGCATCGAAGCTAATAGAAACAGTTTAGAGTGTAAAAGTAATAATATTAGTTAAACGTAGCATTATAATGTAAACATTAACAATTAAGCTTACCAATGATGAAAAAGAGAAATGTGTTGGTAATCTTTGCGAACCCGCGGAAATCGTCATTACAGTCAGGTTTACTAAGAAAACACAGTATGATAGTCTGCCCAAAGGAACTACTAAACGGTTACTCAATATTTTTGTTAATGGTCCTATGACGAAAAGAAAATAATTCAAAAATTTTATATGTAGTTAATTTAATGAATAAAATTACCATAACCCGTCGTGAAGTGACAAACAGCTAACCAACATGCCAATACAGTCCACGTACAATGGCTCACACTCGCGTACAATGCATTTTCAACGGGATCATATAATTTTGTCTTTTTATAAAATATTGCTCCATAAAATTGTGCCCATAAACCAATCACAGTGATAAAAAATGTCCCAATAAAAACAACTTTCTTTTATATTCAATGTAAAGAAATAAAAATCAATGTTTTATATTTATATTTAATGAAATCTGATTGTGACAACTTACATAGGACATTTTAAATTTGGTCTCCTTTAATTTTTCAACTAGAAATGCAATAGCTATTCCAACTAAAAATGGTGTTGCCCTTAAATAACTAGGTCTATAAATTTTGTTAAACGTCATAGAACTTCTAGGATTTTCTAAGAAACTAAAATTCAAATTAATTTACACATGACTCATTTGTTAATGTCAATAAAAATATAAATTATTTAAATGTAATTCCACAAATAGAGTTGAATCACATTAAACCACTAAAATTGTCAAGACGAAGTGTTTTATTCTTTTAAGAAAACTTTGATTACTCGAAAAATCCTAAGGATAACATGAAGAAATTATCATAATTTATTATGTATTTTTTTAGAATTTTGAATCTTTATATCTTAAAAAAATTGAATTTAGTTGTACAATTAAATTTAATTTCTTTATTAATACATGTTGATTATTGTTCTGAATTTTTCTATATTTTACTTTATATTTATGGTAAATACGAAAATCTATGAAACATTCATTAAATTTTAGATTACCAATCGAGTTTCACCGGTAATTTGTATATGAATAGTTGTGAATACAAAAATAACTAGAATAAATTTTTAAAACTCTTCAAGTCAAATTTTTCTCTAAAATCTTAAAAATATTACTAAATTAAAAAAATAAAATGTTTCCTTGAATGTCAAATTATTGAGGTTCTATTGTATTTATAATATAAGTCATCAACTATTAATATTTAAAATATTATTCATAATAATATGTTCTTACGGTATGTTCACTTTGAGCACGCCATCTAATTTAGTAATGAATGTTATGTAAAACGGCAATATTAATGATAAACAAATAAGAAGTAGAAGCATTCCAATACCCCATTTTCTGTTTTGTATGTAGCTATACAATATTATAACACCAAGTATGTAAAAGTGTACATCACAGGTAACATACCAGCTTATAATAAGACACTAAAAATGAAAATATTAGTTCACGTATTATTACTAAAACTCAATTATAAATTTATTATATAATTAATAACTTATATGTAATTTAAGTATATATATAGTATTAATATTTATAGTAAAATATAAATGAACTCAAACATCAAAGTCAAAGCATAATTTACTAATTTTTTTTCTTATTACCATAAAATGTAATTTAATTTGAAAAATTTGTGTTATGTTATATTTTTTAGGTAATTTAAATGTATCGTTAAATTTCAAATCATATTTTTTGACACATCATATTCTTAAATCAAAAAGTATAAGATAATATTCTATAATTACAAGTAAAAATAATTCACTATTTTTTGTTAAAACTCAATGATCTCCCTAAAGTCTACTGAGATATCGTTCGTGAAACTACTTGGCTGCCATGCATTCTGTGCATATGTCCTAAGTGTCACGTATATCAATAATACATTTTACGTTTATTTTCCTTGCATTTAACTATAAAGTATACACTATAAATTTACGGTGTCAAAAATACTACCTGCACTAAGTCTTATTATCTCATGATTATTACAAATTTTTTTATTTAATTAACTAATGGACATAAAAACTAAAAAAAAACGCATTTCAACCAATTAACCAAAGTAATTTAACAATAATTTATACACTAATATGAATTTTTATAATGCAAATAATATTAAAATTTTAACTAATTATAACAAATAATTATGTAACGTTAATGAACAAGCAGTTCAAAAATATTAATAAATAATACAAATATTTCAATTTGCACTTTAAAAAGTGAAGGTAATTAGCCAAATAAAAAGTACTTAAACGCAGTGAAATACAGTTTTAGAAAAGGGAATTTTTAATAGCAAAATAAAATATGTTACACCAAAATATATACATATTTTTAAACAACCTGATGTGTTCGAAATTATCTTGATTTATATTGATACAAGTAAATGTATAAGGTACTGAATTAAAAAAATTAATTCTTACTTGGTATTTTACATCAATAAAATTATTGATAAATAGAATATTTGTCCACCAGTAGTCTTTACATAAATTTGCTTCATTCCACGTTTTTTGTTGCCAAAATGGTCCATTACCAAAGTGAGGCAACAACTGAGCGGTAAAAGCCATCACTACGATATATCCAGGTAGCATTCTATTACAAATTTTGATTAAATAAATTAAAATTATAATAATTGATAATAGGATTTAAGTTTATGTTATACCTTACAATTCTGTAAATTATCGGCATAAATATTTTATAAAAAAATGATCCTTTGCCGATTAAAGTCGGGTAAAGCATTTTATATGCTAAAAAGCCACTCATAAAAAAATATGGATCAACCAAATTCATACTAGTTAATAAAATAGCTGGACCATTGACATAAATCTAAGAAAATTAATTATTTTAAAGAATAATATAACTATTAATAGCAAGTGTAGTTGTTTAACTAATTGATTTGATTGTAGAACTTACGATTTCAAAGTCTTTAGGGTAACTTTGAGGGGTTCCAATCAAATGCATAAATCGGTGTCCAAATAGTATAAATAGCATTACAACAAATTTAAAACCATTAAAAATATTCAAAACATTATCCTTATCAAATAATAATAATTCATTGCCATTTTTTATAATTGAAAACGATTGCAAAATTCCATTACATTGGACTATAAAAAATTATTGTTGTAAAAAATCAATACTAATATTAAAATACAACAAATAAACTATTTTTGTTATCATATAACTAACAGTAAAATGGACATAAAAAATATACAATTTTTTTTTTATTTTTCTAAATTAATTTCATGATGTTTAATAAAAGATGTGTATAATAGTGAACTATTATATGATTAGATATCATAAAATAATTTTAGGAAAATTAAAAAAGAAATACATTTTTTTAACGACGATTTACTGTGTGTTTATCTTAAAACTAATAATTACTAATAATTTCAAAAACTAGTCGTGATAGAAAAATCATGAGCTAAATTGAGAATCACCATTGAAATTCCATGTGTAATTCATATAAAAATTGTAAACAAAAAAATGGCTGTTGTCCTGTGTATTTTATATTCTTATTAAATTATTTTCAAATCTCATGATTTTAATTATTTACTCAACACTTCAAATTAATTAATTATTAAAAATTAAAATAGGCTACCTACTATTAACTTACTTGGATCCTTCTTTTTTATTTTAAACAAATATTTGATATGAACTATTGTAGCAACGCAGCAAGTCAAACCAAAAATTAGAAAAACACCACTATAATAAAAGTTAATTGTATTTTAAAATTCCAAATTCAATAGTATACTCCATTTAATATACTCAATTTTTTTATAATGTTAATTAAAAAATTTACCTAGTAGTATAATACCCTCTAGTGTATGGATATAAATCTTTACCCAAGGAACACATTATTGGATTGACAGAAGCTATAGCTTTTACGTTCTCCGGTAAAAACACTTGATCCAAAGTTGATTGTAAAGAATTTTCTAGATCAAGAGCTTTACAAGATTCTGGTATGCATATACCAAATTTCAAAACATTTCGTGACATTTGATTAGGATGATCGACCCACTGTAAGCATTTAACATATGTCATATATTTTTTTAAGTTTCATTGAAATGAAATTTATCAATAATATTATAATAATTAAAGCAATAACAATAAATCGTTTTAATAATGATTTAAAATAACATATAAAAAGTTTAAAACTATGGACAAAAAATATATTGGTCTATTAAAAAAAATCTAGTACAGTTGTGATCCAGTTTATCCAGCATAGTAGACTCTACTGTAGATTGTTACCCGACAGTGATCTATGCACTAAATTTACTTATACAAAAAAAACTCTATATTTCTACAAACTTATACGTTCCTCAAAAGGATTCTATTTTTTATTAGGTATAAGACCTTCGAGGTATTGTTCAATGAACGTTTATGTTCCACAATTGTTTGCATTTTATTGTAATAATAACATAAATAAATATTTTTTCAATATTAAATTTAAATGTACAACTTGATTTTAACACGCTTTTATTTAATATTAAAATATTTATTTTTAATTAATATAATAATTTTTTTAACACGCTTATATTAGCTTCACCTGTATGTTTGTTTGTAATTCTCAATTTTTATTTATTAGATATAATAAACATTTAAAAGTTCATTTTGAGTTAATATACAGAGTGTTCAGTAAGTCAGGAAACGGGTTTCTATTGTTCTCATTGTTACAAACAATGAGAACAATAGAAACCCATTTCCTGACTTACTGAACACTCTGTATATCTATAATATATAAGGGATTACAAATACAGGTAGCTAATTGGTTTTTTATGACGATATTCGCAGGTATATAGCCTTTATTAACAATGGTAATAAAACACATTGTTGTGAGTTTATAAGTACACTAACTGGAAATACAGAAATTATATCTATTGATAGTCATAATTGACAAACAAACACTCCGTGACTATGACAGCGAAGTCATAAAAAACTAAAAAGTGAAAAATAAACATAGTTTAAAAAACACGCTTTTTAAACTAATTCTTTTGAATAATTTTTATAGCACGTTTTTATGTCTTTAATTTGATATAGATTAAAAGTAGTCAGACGATTTAGAAACATTTAAAAAATTATGTTAAAAAAAAAATGTATAATATTTACGGTTGTTTCTTTAAGCCCTTTCCTTATGCAGGATTTGACTTGGGCTTTCAAAAAAAGCATATCATAAGAAAGATCATTATTTATATTTTACTTAATAACAATGTTATTATGTTTGAGTTTTTCTAAAAAAAGTCATGGCAATTTTTAAATGCAAAAAAGATACTAGTTTTTAATCCTTATTAAAAAAAATTCAGTATAATTATTTAAATTATAGAAAGCAATACTTATTCAATTAGATATAACTCGGGGTTTTTTTTGACGTGTAGATTAGCAAAATCGGTTCAGTAAGAGCTGAGAAGTTTTTTGGACAAATACAAAAAAACACATCATAGTAAAATTAACCTTCTCAGCTTCGTATAGAACTTTAAATGAAGAAATTATTTTGTTTAAGAAAAAATAAGCCTTGAAAAATTAATTTATATATCACAGCATAATAATAAAAATATTCAAATATTTCCTTATGTCGGGTTTGAATCAATGTTTTAATCTTTAATAATAATAATAATATATTAAAATTAAATTTTTGTTGGTAAAAAAGAAAATATTTCATAAATTATAGTGTTTATAATTTATGCAAATAATAATTATATAAATTTATATATATAAACAATGTTTAAAAAATATTTAGGTCACATCTTAAATAAAATAAATTAAGTAATATAAATAAATACCCCGAGTATTTCATCCCAAGCATTCTCCAGATTTTTAGAAACTTGCAATGGGCTCACAGAAAAATTGCGTTTTGTTGATGCATATAATTTTATATCAGCTAAGCAATATTGTCCATGAATTGGATATTCCACATCAATACATTCGTCATAAACTCCCATTTGATAATTGTCGCCAGCCAATATACCATTTGGATATCGACTCCAGGAATCAGCCACTGTAATAAAATATATTATAATTAGGTAGGTATTTTAATACCATATTTTAAATAAATATATTTTAGTGGTCTATAAATATTATATTATCCGCAACGAAATCAGTGTAATTTTTAGGGGGGGGGGGCACTAAGCATTCTCATTAGTGAAACAATCCAACATTTTAAGTAAAAAATCAACTTAAAAAATTTCACTAAAATTTTTTTGATTTAAATCACCCGCCCTATTGAAACATCACAGGTACACCACTAAGTGGAGTATTGAATAAAAATTAATGATTAATTAAATATAATGTATCAGATAAGATTTATTTTAATGTTGATCCTTATTAAAAAAATTTTAATTACATGCATTTTCGTGTACTTCCAAGGATCAATCGAGGACAAATCAATTGTATTTTAATAATATACCGTTTTATTAATAAAATATAAACAAAAATTATTGAAATTAAAAAAATCTTATTTATTTTTGTACGCAATATAATCCAAAAAAGTAAAATATATACCTTTGGAAACTTACTTCTGGCCGCCCAATAAGTATGATTTCTCAAGTGATTAATGTACAGTTCGGTTTGAATTCGACATGCAGAGCTGTTAGTAAGACGAATAGTGAAGTTGGCAAACGTCCTATAAAACAAATCAGCCACTTGTGATGATGGATAATCATTGTTAATAGAAATTATTTCTGATGAATTATTTTTGATAGAAACAAAATTCGTTTGATTATGTCTTGATGATTTGCCTAAAACCTGTGGTATTGTTTGACCTATTATTGATAATGTTAATGCTAATACTAAAAATGACACCAGTTCACTTATATTCATTTCAAATAGATTGTCACACGTTCATAAATTAAGAAAAAAAAGCCTATTATAATATGTTCTACTGTAGTTAACACATTGAAAAAGAAACAATGACTGAATGATTTGTTTCAGACAATGCCTACACAAAAATTACTCCAATTACTCATCCAAAATCACATTAAATTATGGCCTTGTTTCATCTTTAAATATGATGTTTTATGGAATCTTTTAATGGATTAATGACACATAAATGAAATTAATGATAAGGAAGGAGGAGTCATTTTCACCACAAATGTATGATTCTATTTAGTTTTGGTATTTCCATTTACGTGAACCCGCAAGATTTTTGTGACATAAGATAAACATAATGATACTGTCTGGAACATGTTGACCTTTACAATTTCCATAGATCCATCCATAGTTTCCAATAATATTTTATAATCGTATCATTGTGTTTTCTAAAGATATTTTTGTTATTTGAAAAAAACAAAAAGATTAAAAAAATGTATTTATCTTATAAATGTAATTTTTACAATGACTGTAGATCATTAATCATTACATAATCATAATTTAATTTGTTTACGGAAATGCTTTATGCAAGTACTAGATGAACATTTTTACAGTAAAATATCCTCATTGTTTTCTAGGAGATCTCATATGTCCTTGTTACTACTGTAAGTAAATAATATGTCTAAATTATACAGTATACAATTGCTTAGGGTTTTAGTAAAATTGCATAAAAATCAAGTGAAAACCCATATAATTTTGATCAACAATTCCAAATAGAGTGATTTCTCTTAATAATATAAAGACACTAATAATATATTAACCAATAATTATATTTGTGATATTTAAGAATCTACAGTTTTATCTCATAGTCGTTATACTTATTCAGCGTCACTTATTATAATGTATAGTTCTTTTTTTATTAATAAAAATAATTTATAATTATTAGTAAATTTTTTTTATGTAAACAATCAAGAAAGTCTTAACTAATGAACAATTATATTAGTTAAAACTATTAATTTCTCAGATCTATTAAAATGTCGTTACCATAATAGCACAATAAGTATTGGAAAATTTATCTCACGAACAACTGATTCATTCATATTCTTAATAGTTTGCAACTAGTGTAATCTCGAACCGTTTTATCGAGTACAATTTTTATGTTGAATACATTTTATGACCTTGATAGCAGTAGAAAATATTGTTATAAATCTATTTAAAAAAAATTATAAAAGATTTTTAGTAAGTATTGAAATAAAAATTTTGATTTTAACAATCAATTCTTGGCAAAAAGAGAATATTAAATGAGATATAGTGAATTCTATAGTAAAACTGAAAAAATGAAGATAAAAATGAAAATTTAAAATATCAAAATGATAATTAAGACTACAAACATAGTCAATATTTCAAAATTAAAATTTAAACAAAATTTCAGGTTTTTCATTGAAATTTTAAGTCACCAAATACCTAACTATATGCTTTGCCAAAAATACATAAGCCGGCAATTAATATGAAATCTGTTATGTCGAATATTAATGAACTTGCCAGTTTGTGACAATTTATTCGACTAGGTGATAAGGTCACTAAAGATGAAGAGAGAATATTATTTAGTTGTGGTGTCAGTATGTGTTTAGCACTGATAATAGTAATGTTGTACCAGAAAGAAGAATACGCGAATTTTTAATATTTTTTTGGCTTTTTGAGATGAATATTTAAAATATTTTTTTAGTTTTAAATTAATGTTTTAAATATATTTTTAATTTAAATTAATATATATTTAAATTTAAAATAATATAAGTCACAATTCTTATAAATCTATTAAAAATATTTTTTTACTAATCTATTAATTTTTATGTCTATTAATCTAATATAATTAATATTATTAATTAGACAAGTAACAAAAGAAGTGATAACTGATTAATTTTATCGATAGATCAAATATCAGTTTTTCGTATTGGTATAAATCGCACAATTATTTTACTTATACTGTCACTCTTTTATTTATGTACTGATTGAAGCTGTTATAGATATTAGTACTTTTTGGTTAGTCACCATTTATTTTACTTTGTAGTAAAAACTATAAGTAATAACATCTATGCCATCGTGACAAAGTAACAGTAACGAGTTCATTTACACATCTCTATTAACAAATTTCATGAAATATTTGCTTTTAATTTATTTTATATAATTTATTTCATTTTAATAATAAGGTAAACATTATACCAACAGCTGCTCTTTTTCATTTAATTTATTATATTTTGAATTTCGGTAATTATATCTTAAGTCAATTTCAAGGAAGCATTAAATAATCTGTTAATTAATTATGTTGATTTTGAATGTTAATGTTTTATTTTTAAATACTTATTATTGAGATAATATAAATAAAACTTTAATTCAATATAATTATTTATTTTAACATTGAATGATCTCAAATTTAAATAATAAGAAAGTGAACAACAATTTATATAATTAGGCGCTTTAATATTCATACCTATGCGCTTAATTGTTTGTAAAATAGTCTATGTAATTCTCCTTGTACAAATATGTATTATATTATTATGTTAGTATATATAAATATTAGTTCATATATATTTATATATAAGGGCTCGAGAAGCTGTTTATTTAGATACAGCAAATACTATTATAAAAAGGTATAATAGTTCAAAAAATCACCTGTAACAATTAATATACAACAATAACCGGAACTCTAATTGCTCCGTTAAAAAAAGTTTTTCAACAATCGTAAAAAGAATATTAAAATATTTTGCATGATTCATTTCATCAACCATTTTTCAATTAAATACTACATCTTAGAACCCTTTAGTTTTGGTTTGAAATATAACTATATATAAGAATTTAAATAATTAAACATTAATTAACTTAATGAACGTTTTATCCAATTCATTAATTTATCATTAATCCAAAAATTTAAGTTTATAAGTAATATATTTTTATAATCTTGTTTAAGTATATTTTTTACTGAACGTTGAAAGACATAAATATAATATATTAATAAATTCTACAAACTAAATTTAATAACTTTCTCTAAAAACTTTTTTTTTTTTTAAATTATAGTTTATTTTATTGAAATGTTAAAAGACTTTTTAAAACTTAGTGTACTAAATTTTGTTACGCTCTGGTTGGTTAACTGTCTAAAGGTTAAAATGATTTTTTGTATATATTTTAGACAGTTAACAAATTACCACTATATGAATTAAATGTGTACTTATTATTTTTTACGTCAATATTTTTGAAAAAAATATTTGAAGTATTTCAATGTTTTCATTGGCAATTAATTCTTTAATTAATAATTGGCAATCTAAAATAAGATTTTTATACTTATGTGAATTATAAAGAAACATTAATAAATTGAAAACTATTAAAAAAAAAAACGGTAGCACAGTGGGGTCGCGGCATAGTGGAGATATTGCATAGTTGGGTTCAGTATAGATTTAATCTGACAGTGATTAAAATCACTATCATTAGAAACGCTTCGATGCAAATCTGTAGATAGNAGGGTCCAGTATAGATTTAATCTGACAGTGATTAAAATCACTATCATAAGAAACGCTTCGATGCAAATCTGTAGATAGTGTTTAATTTTAAAAAATTGATGGATAATTGCAAAAGCAACATCAACTTCTATTAAAATAAAATACAAAACCCATAATTATCATACAAAAATAGTATATTTTTCAATATGGTAGCCATTTGCGTATAGAAGATAGATCGTCGGGACAAATTTTTTTTTTCATTTTGTAGTACATAAAATAAGCTTTAATTTTATATATGTTTAAAGGACGCAGTATTTCCGGAACATTTTCAAAAATTAAGTTGAAAAAGTTATTTTTTGTAAAAAAGTTACTATTTTAAATCCTCCCAGTGAGCTGAATAAGTGTTAGATTTTCAAAAAAAAATGATATCAAATGAAAGGAAATTACTTAAGGTTTAATACAAAAAAATATTATTTTTATTTGTTCATTTTTGAAAAAGTTATGGCAGTTTTAAGTACAAAAAACATCCCGATAAAATGTAATTTTTATCGCAAACATTACATTTTTTTTTAAATTTTCGACAGCCATTTGCACATAGAAGATAAGATGTCGGGACAAATTTTTTTTTTTCATTTGATAGTATATAACATAATCTTTGATTTGATATATGTTTAAAGGACGCAGTATTTCCGGAACATTTTCAAAAGTTCAGTTGAAAAAGATCTATGTTTTTTACAATATTTTAAGTTTTGAACGCCCCCTATATAAGGGGAAATTGTCCAATTTTAATAAAAAGTATGTCAAATGAAAGATGTACTTATAATGTATTTAGAAAAAAAAAATTTGTGCTGATATATACATTTTTCAAAAAGTTATAGCATTTTTAAGTTGAAAATTTAAAATCGAAAATCGAAAATTTTAACACAAAAATAGTGTTTTTTTAACTACGGCAGCCGTTTAAATGTAGAAAAAAAAGTGTCGGGACAAATTTTTTTTTTTCATTTTGTAGTACATAAAATAAGCTTTAATTTGATATATGTTTAAAGGACGCAGTCTTTCCGGAACATTTTCAAAAATTAAGTTGAAAAAATTAATTTTTGTAAAAAAGTTGCCATTTTAAATCCCCCCCAATGAGCAGGTTAAGTGATAGATTTTCAAAAAAATGATATCAAATGAAAGGTAAATATCTAAGGTTTTAGTATAAAAAAAAATTATGTTGATTTGTTGATTTTTCAAAAAGTTATGGAAGTTTTAAGAAAAAAAAGTGAAAAAATTTCGAAAATTAGCGATTTTTAAATTTGTAATTTTTTTGGATATTTCCCCCATTTGCGGGGAACGAGGGAATTTTTTTCAATTTTTAAGGGTAATGTCTTCAACTAGATACGATTTGTGATCTTTTGACGTATTTTTGAAAGAAATCGGTACAGTGAGAGCAAATATGAAGTTAAATAAATTTTTTTTTATCCCTACAGGGATAAAAATGTTTATTTATAATTTTTTTTTAATGGGAACCACTATTTTTGATTTGATAATATGATAGAAAAAAAAATTACAAACAATTTTGTTCTTAAAATTTTTTTTATCCGAACAACCGTTTACGTTTTATAATTGTTTAAAGATTTTGACTTCCAGGAAAAATATTGTCATTTATTACGTTTCATAATATCGGTGGCAGTGCAATCGGTATTTTTTTAGATTCTTTAGTCTTACAAAACCCTAGACTTAGCTATTAATAATACACCGAAAACCCTATTTAAATCTATTATTATTATCACTCATTTAATGCATAGTAAATTTTTATAGCTCATTTACCTGTCATAACTTGATCAATAAAATTTGGTATATGCAATAGCAAATAAAAATAATGACAATAAAAATTTGGCCTAAAATCACTTAACTTTAACAAGCTGTAACAGTTAATCGGATAATAAAAATTATAAGAACAAAATTGTTTGTAATTTTTTTTCTATGATATTATAAAGTAAAAAATAAGGGTTCCTATTTAAGAAAATTATAAATAAGGGTATTTATCCTTGAAGGGACGAAAAAAATAATGGTTTGACTAGATATTATTGTAGAGTTTTTTGAACTTGATTTTTTGTCTCCATAATAAAATTTAAAATTCTCAATATTTTCTGAGAAATTGAGTGTCAGCAGATTTCGATCACCTGTATATATATATATATATTAGGGTGGTCCTTATTTTTCGACTTCATAAATTCAGAGTCATGGTCTCAAAATTTCGTTAGGTTCACTGAAAAAATGAAACTGGTAAAATTTGAGTACAATAAGTCAACCCCTTCACGTGCCTCAAAGGGGTTGAAGTTCTTCAAAAATGGGATGGATTATCTTTTTTTGAGTGTACGCTCTTTATTTTTGAAGGTTCGCTAAAAATACAAAGAACAATTTTTATAGAACTCAATGTGAACAAAAAATAAGGTAATATACTATTTTTTTGTAAAATTAATATTTTTTCGTGAAAATAAGAAAAATCAGTTTCACTTAATTTTTTTTAAAAAATGACATAGTTTTCAGTTATACTTTTCCAGTGTCTTAAATTTCAATTTTACGCAGAAATTATACAGAAGTAATATTAATCACAGTGATATCTTCTATAAAAAACGTTATTTGAGTTTTTTTCGAATTATGAATCCTTTCCAAATAAAAATTTAAAACAACTACGAAAACTTGTTTTTTTTTTAAATTTTTTTTGCATGTATGTTTTTTTGTTCATAAATTAACAAATTTTCTTAGTTATATTAAATAAAAAAAAAAATACAATAAAATAATAATTGTTTATTACAATAATAATTTTTATAATTTGAATATTTTTTAAACCTGTGATACAGCTGGCGATAATGTTGAACCACTTAAAATAGTCAAAAATAATGGTTATAATACAAATATAGTAATTTAAAATTAAAAATTTTGCAGTATTATTATATAATTTCATACTTGTAATATAAATTGCTTTTGATTTTCATCCCTTGTAAATTTGTCGTTAAATTTTATTTTTGCTTGTTGTAGTTTACCGAGTTTTTTCCAATTTTCTATTTTAGTTGGCTGTTTAGCATACAGTAGACCTTATTTCTTTATAATGTTATATAAAAAAGTTTTTATAGATAATTCTTGTTATCATATCTGTCTTGTACAATAGCAAAATAAATACTGATAATAATTTATGGGCCATTAATACAGGTTATTGTTGCCTACGGTTATATAAAAACAAAATTAATGATAAATTTCGTCTTAAAGACCAAATCTTTGAATATTTTGAATATCTTTAATTTTATCTTATATTAAAATCCACCAATATGATAAAAATAAATGATAAAAACGAAATTTTATAACAACAAACCAAACATAGTTTTTTTTAATAATAATTAAGTGAAAACTCGTAAAATAATTAAAATTTTAGGTTTTGAGCCCTAAAGTGATGGAAAAATTTTTTACTACATATTATTGTAAGATTTTTTAAATCAAACAACATATTCCTTTACAATAATTGAAAATATTCAATAATATTTGAAAAATGAGTGTCTTATCCTCAATCGATCACTCCATATATAGAGTTCAGTAACTAAGAAAACGGATTTCTATTGTTCTCAATGTTTGTTACAACTAATCTGTTTTCTTACTTGCTGAATAGTCTGTGTATTTTGTTCAAATTACGAGGAAAATATTTTTACATTTGTAAAATTTCTTATAAGAATAATTTTGAGTTAAAATAAAAAACTTTTAAATGATTTTAGATAATGAAATATTAATCATTCTTTTGTTCAAATATTTAAACTTGCATTTTTACATTTATTTAACGGTGTATGTATACTTTACTTAAATTACTTATTAATATTATGATATACATAATAAATAAAGAATAGGCCTTAAAATCAATAATAAAATATATGCAATATTAGTGACAAAAAACCCAGCACAGGGGGGTCGCGGCACAGTGGTGACGTGGTATAGTTGGATCAAGTATAATGATATCTGACAGTGATTAAAATCACTATCAAAAAAAAACGCTTCGATGCAAATCTTTAGATACTGTTTAATTTTAAAAAAATTGGTGTTTTATTCCAAAAGCTACTTGATCTGCTGGTTCTTTATTAATATCTCGATTAAGATAAAGTATGTCGAATGAAAAAGAGTTTATTAAAAAATATTATTTCTCATAAAAAAATTGTGTGGATCCATAAACTTTTCAATAAGTTATAGCATTATAAAGTTAAATATAATATAAATAATAAAATCGAGAATTTTCACACGAAAATAGCATTCGGTAGCCATTTTCGCCGTGAAGACAAGTCCAGAGGTCAAATTTTTTTTTTTCAAATTAAAGTATATTACATTAGCTTTAATTTAAGATATATATAAAAGTGTCAGACCTTCCGGAACATTTTCAAAAGTTAAGTTGAAAAAGTTAATTTTTTGTGAAAAAGTTGTCATTTTAAATCCCCCCCTGTGGGCAGATAAAGTGTCAGATTTACAAAAAAAATATACCAAATGATAAGTAAAGACATCAAGCATCTATATAAAAAAAAATTATATTGATATGTTCATTTTTGAAAAAGTTAGAGCATTATTAAGTTAAAAATATAAAAAAAAATTATTTTACAAAAATCGTAATTTTTTATTAACTTTGATGTCAACTTTCACCACGAAGACAAGTCCAGAGGTCAAATTTTTTTTTTTCAAATTAAAGTATATTACATTAGCTTTAATTTAAGATATATATAAAAGTGTCAGACCTTCCGGAACATTTTCAAAAGTTAAGTTGAAAAAGTTAATTTTTTGTGAAAAAGTTGTCATTTTAAATCCCCCCCTGTGGGCAGGTTAAGTGTCAGATTTACAAAAAAAATATACCAAATGATAGGTAAAGACATCAAGCATCTATATAAAAAAAAATTATATTGATATGTTCATTTTTGAAAAAGTTAGAGCATTATTAAGTTAAAAATATAAAAAAAAATTATTTTACAAAAATCGTAATTTTTTATTAACTTTGATGTCAACTTTCACCACGAAGACAAGTCCAGAGGTCAAATTTTTTTTTTTCAAATTAAAGTATATTACATTAGCTTTAATTTAAGATATATATAAAAGTGTCAGACCTTCCGGAACATTTTCAAAAGTTAAGTTGAAAAAGTTAATTTTTTGTGAAAAAGTTGTCATTTTAAATCCCCCCCTGTGGGCAGGTTAAGTGTCAGATTTACAAAAAAAATATACCAAATGATAGGTAAAGACATCAAGCATCTATATAAAAAAAAATTATATTGATATGTTCATTTTTGAAAAAGTTAGAGCATTATTAAGTTAAAAATATAAAAAAAAATTATTTTACAAAAATCGTAATTTTTTATTAACTTTGATGTCAACTTTCACCACGAAGACAAGTCCAGAGGTCAAATTTTTTTTTTTCAAATTAAAGTATATTACATTAGCTTTAATTTAAGATATATATAAAAGTGTCAGACCTTCCGGAACATTTTCAAAAGTTAAGTTGAAAAAGTTAATTTTTTGTGAAAAAGTTGTCATTTTAAATCCCCCCCTGTGGGCAGGTTAAGTGTCAGATTTACAAAAAAAATATACCAAATGATAGGTAAAGACATCAAGCATCTATATAAAAAAAAATTATATTGATATGTTCATTTTTGAAAAAGTTACGGCAGTTTTTAGTAAAAAAAATTGAAAAAATTTCGAAAATTAGCGATTTTTAAATTTGTAATTTTTTTGGAGGTTTCCCCCATTTACGGGGAACGAGGGAAATTTTTTCAATTTTGAAGGGTAATGTCTTCGACTAGATACGATTTGTGATCTTTTGACGTATCGTTGAAAGAAATCCGTTCGGTGAGAGCTGAGAAAAAGTGGTAACAGACAAAAAAAAAAAAAAAAAAAATAAACACATCTTAGTAAAACCAATACCTTCTCAGCTTCGCATCGAAGCTAAAATGTTTCCTGGTTAACATTTATGTCGTAATAATTAGTAATAATATTATTATAATAGTATGAAATATGTTTATTTATAGCTACATTTTTATTTACAAATTTTAAGTTCAATCAGATTTAATTTTATTATATAGAAAATATTGTAGCATATGCATAGATTATTTGAATACTAATCTGTTAGTCGTCTTAAATACTTTGTATAAAATATAAAATATAATTGATAGCCCTAAAATAATCACTGAAATTATATATATTAACAAATATTAGTACTACATGGTAAGTGTAGGAGATTTTAAATGAGGTGCACCTTTATGCCAAATAACATATCCAGTCCAATATATTACAGATTCGGCTGGAGACATTGGTTTGTCTTTAAATCTTTCAGCTATAATTTTGGTATTCATAGAATATCTACAAGAAAAAAAAATTAGTAATATAAAATAGTTGGATTATTTATTGTTATAAAAGATTTCGATTGCTAAAATAATTAACATTAAATTTTACAATGAAATTGTGTGAATCGATCTTAAATATTTTGCGCTCTTTGCACAGTCATCAGAGTATGATAGGCGGATTTTTACACTAAACAATGCGATTTATTAAGAATGCCTATTTAACGTTAAAAATGTACAGCTTAAAATTTGATTTATTTTTATGAACCATAGTAAATATCAAATTTATTGTAAAAATAAATTAATACATAGGTTAAATTTTATGGATAACTTCAGTGTTAAATAGGAACTTATAATTATTTTTTTTACTATCTAATGGATAGTTTAAATAATACAAGTTATTTATTATGATTTTTTGGATCCATTTGTATATATTATAAATCCTCCTTTCTCGGTCAGGTAATTAATATTCCATTCTCTACGTGTAGGCGATATTATTTTTATGAACCGGTTTGATATAGTCCAAGGGGTATTCCAATAAGCTAAGGTCTATTTCTTTTATTATTTTACCGTGTGCTGCTGTGTCGCTCTCCAAAGTCCAAGTACCTAAGTTGTTGAAGTCTTAGCGCTGTGGCTTTGGCGTAAGCTTTGATCTCCAGATGCAGAGTAAGCAATCCGATTAGCGCCTCTATAATGCGACCGTTGGTGTAGTTCTTAATGCTCCAGTGATGGCTATGGCAGCCATTCTCTGTATGCGACCAAGTTCTTTCCTAGTTATAACGATCGCTGTTCTGGTTTACCAGACTAGGGCACCGTACAATATCATAGGTTTAATCACTGAAGTGTACAGATAATACATAACTCTTGGTTTAAAACCTTGTGTCTTTCCCAAGACTCTGCTGCAAATCCACAGTGTGATCATTGCTTTATTGATTCTTGACTCAATATGTGCTTTCCATTTTGGCTTACTATTTAAGATAATACCTAAGTATTTATTTAACTTCCGATTTTAAGCTAATTTCTTGTCCATTTAGAGTAAGAATGCTAAAACTGTCTAGTCCTATTCTCCTTCTAGTGAACATAACGACCTCTGCTTTATTTGGATTAACTGTCTAATAGGTGAATCACAATGATAAATTTTAGTAGTCCCCTATACATTTAAAGTAAAATATGATCATAGTTATTGCATAAGGTATATCTCATATATGACAAATTTATTTAAATATTCTTTAAAATCAATATTGTATAGATTCTAAAAAACACAAATATCTGTGTCATAGGCGTAAATAGTCTTAAGAACTTAGCGATGTCCAAGCTCCAAAGATTAAAAAAAATGTTTCGCTCTGCTTCAAAATACATCTAATATCCGAAGTACTAAATATAATTACTGCAGTAATTATTATATTTTTGGTTACAACCAGTGGCGGCTTTTGGCTTGAACGACGGGACGATCGCACCCCTACTAAAATTAATTATAAGAAGAAAATTAATTGTGTATTATTAATTCTACAATTTTATTAAAATGCAAATTTTTAAATAGCAAAATAGTTATAATACATTTGTCGTGCGCGAACATTTAAGTTGTTTTCCTCGGTATATGCGAGTACGGATACACACGCGAACAATGTTTGGACGACCAACAGCGTCGTCCGAACAATATTTTGAAACTTATATAATAAACGAGGTACGCAATTATGTGCGTGCGGATACGGTTCAGCTGCAATCTTATGAACGGGTTTTGGACAACCGGCAGCGTCGACCATACAATAAAATATTAGTATATTGAATAATTTATTTTTAGAATTAATACGCGTACGCTCGTCGTTATCGGTTGCTATAATAGTATAATCACTGTAATTATTATTTTCATTTCTATTTTCTACTGCGACCTTTAAAATAATAATATGTGTATTGTATTTCATTTTATTATATTTAATTTGATAATTGTATACACCTATAACCAGCGGTATTATATTTAAAGTCGTCGTACGCCCGCCACCAGCACCCACGAGCCATGTTACAACATTTAAAATAATAGTATAATCTACTTGAGGTGTTAAGTAGCTAAAGCATCCCCTATTTACTCGTATAATACAAGTACTAAAAAAAGATTAATTTTTGCAAATCTTGATTCAATAAACCTCTGTGTGGCTATTCTACTAGTTCTTAAGAGACATTAAAAGTAAATTATAAAAATTACAAGCCGAAATTTTTTACACTTCATCAGACAGCACAATCTATTTAAAAATATTATTACATATTTGAATTTAACTATACTGTAGATTAAATTGTTTAGCTTATACTATTTATTTTATTATTTATATATTACATTAAATATAATAAAAAAAAAAAAAAAAAAGGAAATAGATTTAATGAACATTTTCCATTTGATTAGTTTCCATCTCTTATTTCTAATTTTTCAGGTGTAATAGATTTTAAACCCATTTTTCTAGTTTTAGTTTCATTTAATCTATAAACATATTTTGAATAATATAAATTATTGAGTATCAGATTATTTAACTAAAAATCCATTAATTTTTTTTTATAATGGTTTTTTTACTTTATCTTTTACTAGAGAAATTACAAATTATTAATAAAATAAATCACATTTAATCAATTTATTTTATTATTTTTAAATTTTAAGTCAACTATTTTTAAAATATTATTTTTTCAATATTATATTTGATCTTATCTAAATTATCTATTTATTACTTACTTACGTGACCTTCGTATTTCTTTGTATAAACTATACAGCAGGTCATTATTCATCATTCTTAAAACTTGTTCTTATACGTTAATGAAAACCAGTTCTCAAGAGTAAAATAGTATCAAAACAGTTAAACATTTTGTATACTCACGAAATTACTTTTATGTTTTATATTATTTTAACATTTATAAGTAGATATTTGTGCTATTAACTATAAAAAATAAAACTTTATACAAAGCTAGTTCATTTTTTATTTAACCTAAAAATACAGTTACAAAATTTTAATTTTTAAAATTATATACCGAAAATCCTTAATACTGTGCATCAAAGAATAGTGCATGTTATAACAATTATATAAAGTAGGTGTGATAATATTTTAATTAAATTAATCATCAGGTTTGTTATATTATATTGCATCTAACTATTTTAAGTTTCTATTGCTTCAAACTTTTTTTATTAAAGGAAATATATTCTTCTTGATATTTTTATAAATTTACGATATTTATTTTATTTATCACAACATTATTCAGAAAAATACTAATTCAATTTGTTAAATAAATATAATGGCACAAAAAAATTGCATTCCTTCCTGAAAAATACACAATGATTATAAATGGAATTACTTGTTAAATAATCATTGGTTATGATTAAAATTAACTGGAATTCCAATATAAATTTAAAAAAATTGATGTCGTATACTTTATTTAGACCTAAAATTCATTAAGTTTTTATATTTTATTATTTTATGGAATAAGAATATATGTATTAGTAATTTGGACGAGGTGTTAATTATAATTAAATGAAAATAAAATATGTTATTATACTCAGTTGAGTTCACAAACCATCATCGAATATTTTATAATTAATATAATACATTAACTATAAAATATTATACTCGTAACATATTTATGACATATAATATTCATTAGCAGATGCACTGAAATAAGACTTGAAATAATTTATTAATAATTTAACAGAACAGAAAATATAAAATTTTATCTGAAATTATATTTCACTAAATAATTATTAATTTTATAATTTTGCTATAATAAAATAAAAATAAAGATTTACGAAAAGTTCAAGAGGTCTAGATCAATTACAGACATCGATATTTTCTCATTATTTAAGTCTCTGATGCGTATTCCAAGTATATTTTATTTTTTAGGACACCCCCTCCCAGAAAAGTATTGAAAATCCGCCACTTTTAAAGTCCATTGGATTCATAAAATTCAATATGCAATTAAAATTCAATTGAAAAAAATTACTTTAATTTATTATCTAATAATTGAAATAAATATTGCTCGTACATATAATAAATTTTATTTATTTATTTAAAAATTACAAACTATTTATTAAATAATTTACAATCGACATAACATTAAAGTAAAATTTTATTGTTATTCAAGCACAAAAAAAAATATAAATCATTTAGATCTTTTTTTTAGAAATATTAAGATAGTTTGACGGTTTATTATGAAAAATACAAAATCTTAATACTTTAAAATAAAACTACGCATTCAATGTTACATTTTAATTAGTTTTATTTTGTACATATCGTAGAAAATTTCCCTCCCTTTTTTTATGTATATAACTCATTTTTAAAATTTAATAGTTAACATGTTAATCCCGATAATCCGCCAATTTTAATTTTACTTTAAATGATACTATTTATAACAATATATGATAATGGTTAGCTCACATTCTAAAACATATGCAATAATGAACAGATTATAAAATGTTATAGTAAATACCTTCTCAGCTTCGCATCGAAGCTAGAATTCAAATTCTGTGGCTTATATCCAAAAGCTGACAAATGGCAGAAATGTGTTAGTGAGATTATTTATAATTTGTAATATAAATTCTTAATTATAGAATAATATATTTCTGTCAGAAGTCAAAAAAGTCTATTTTACCGAGAAAGTATATGTTTTACATTTCAAAAATTTCGACTCGAATAAAATGCAATAAAAATTTGTTTTAGCTTTCCTGAAAAAATGTCTATAATTGACACATCAACTTTTGAATTAGATAATTATATAAATTAAACATAAATCAATTAGAGATAAATATCAACCTGTGACTATTTTATGAGATTTCTATCAAATAATATATATTTATTTTCTACCGATTTTGATCCTCTATCAGAGTCGTTTGAAAACGATAGTTTGCCAACTTTTTGTGAATTGAATAGTTCAACATTAAAAGCATACTTTATAAAAATAATTGATTATTTTTATCATAATATTTAATTTTCAAACGGGTGGATGAGAAATCATTAATTAGAGTTGCCATCCCTCTCTTCGGCGATGAATTTTGAAACTTCATCTTAGGGAACGCGGCAATAGCCCTAAATGTACTGTAAAAATGAAAAAAGTTATATGTATATGATCAATTTTAAGGGAATATCTATATTACATTTTTGATGCATATTTAAATTATGATTTAAAGTTTTTCAAAACCTAAAAACTTTATGAGGAATTTTTTTTCGATGCTTTTTTCTTATTCAATTGACTCACAGAGAATTATTTATTATTAGTTGTTATGTGTCCTTCATTTCTATCATGAGAATTTTTTTATGTTATCTTGAAAATGAGACTTACATTTTACTTTATTGCATCTTTAAAATTTAACAACTAAAATAAACTTGTTTTTTTTTTAATTAAACAACCGCAATTTCCTCATTAAATTTATCGATAAACATTTTACTACGTCATACACATAACGTATCCAAACAACAGTTTTAAAAATTATCGTATTACTGTTTCACTACACAAATATTTAAGACACTATATGATAAATATACTTTTTTAAAAATTTATTAATCAAAAATATATTAAAATTTGAGCATATCTTATAATTTAACAATTCATTGGCCTTGGTTCTGAAGGACGAAGAATTTTTTCACTTTAATGACTGTAGAATAATCCGTTTATCATACTCAATTAATTGCAAAATAAAAAATGTTTTAGTTTTTTTAGTTATATATATTTCTTGATTTATCAGTTATTAGCTATAATTAAAATAAATTGGTTTTTAGCATTATTTCTTAAAACTTATAGATGAATCTACTTTTTTTTTAACGGAAACATACATATTTAACTAGTTTATAAAGTAGGAAATTATCTAATTAGAAAAATGACGGGTCGATATCTTTGGATCCAGTGTTTGAAAGTTATAAACATTTTTATAACTGGTCGGGAGGAGGAGTGCGGCAGAAAATGTCTTATGATAAAAATATTCATTACCCCCGCTTCAACCCAGTCTATATACATTAGTGTAAACAACTTTACATAACATAAGTTTCATATTTAAAAAATAATTCATTAATAAGTCTCTTTAATAGTCACACTGAAAAATATAGAAATCACAGCTACTTGTTTATTTTTAGATTCAATTCTGGTATATACATTAAACGATATAAAAAATGACTACAATCAGAATTTTTGGTAATTGTTTTTTGTTTTTTTGGAAAAAAAAATTATTTTATACAATTTAAACATCAACGAATTCTGCTCTAATTAAAAAAAATGAACAATTCAATATGTCTAAAAGTTTTAATTAAAATTGTAATTATTTTGAATTTTTCGCCACATTTTATGTATTAAAAAATTTAAATGGCCTGTTAAAATAGTTCTACTGTTTTTTTTTTTTTAATTTGTCAAAATGAATTAAAAAGAGATTTCATCTAACATATCACGTGTAGTTTCATTACACTGTGTGATTATAATAAAGTACAAATGATAATTAAAAATACATTTCGTTTGTACAAAATTATATAAAAATTATTTTATGCAAAATAAAAAAAAAGAATTTTAAATTTCAATATGTAGTAACAACGGATCTATAACAATTGCATGCAAGACAATTTGCGCTGGGATAATTACGCATTGGACATTTGCACACAATTTAGATTTTAGTAATATGTTATTCTTTTAGGTAAAAATAAGATATTTTCAAAGCATTTGTCTTCAATTGAACACAAAATCAGAAATAAAAAAAAAAGTAATTATAATATTTTTGTACGTAAGTAAATATTACAGTAGTAAAAATAGTAAAATAATTCATTTAATATTGTCAAAGGTTAAAATTAAAAATGGTAAAAGTTCACAAAGCATCTTAGCCAATAAATACGTTATTCAATAACCACGTTGTAAATTTTGAAATTAAAAAAACTAAGATTTCATGACTGACTGCGATTAATTAGTACAAAGATTAAAATATATATAGATATACAGATAAAATGTAGATACATTTTCCTCGGCATCATATTATTTTATCAATTTTACACGATTCATGGTATAAAAATATTGGAGTGTTTTTCCATCCAATTACACTCTTTACCAATTAGACTGAAGAAACGTATGATAAATTTTTTGAAGCTATTTTTAAATTACAACCTGAACTACATCAAACAATAGCCTTGATGAATTTCGAACACGCAACAATAAATGTAGTGAAAAAAATTTTCGAGTATCAACCTTTTTAAAAGGATATTACTTTCATTTTTCACAGGCAATGTAACCACACTGGCCTTTTGATAAAATAAAGTAAAAATCCTGAATTTACTCTACATCTAAAATTGCCAAATACACAAGCATTTGTATCGCCGGGTAACTAACACAACAAAACCTAACCCATAATACAGACGTTCGAAAAACTTTTGAACACTGATTTTTATAAAGAAAACTATATTAACATCATTCATATTATTGTTATATTTTCAGATTACTTTGAAGTTATATGGGTTTGTTGTGTTAGTCGTAACCAAAAAGGGAGAAACCTCATATTTTTAATTAAAATGTAGAATTGTTATGATCTTTTTCAATATGATATATTTAAAGATAACAATCCTGTTGAAAGATAGTACAATTCTTCACCTTTACTTTAAATTCTATCCACCTTTCTAGTAGGAAATTCATTAATACACTCAAAAAGATGAAAAATTAAATAGGCTAAAAATTGAACTAATCATAGCAGAATAAGAACAAAAATAAAAGTTTGAACATTTTAAATTTTAATATAATAATAATATTTTAATATTTTAACATTGTACTTAATTGATGATTGATACATTGAAAAAGGAATCGTATTTTACAATAACACACGAGCTGTTTATATTTAATTGAATAACCTATTCCTGATATCTAAATTGTGCGCAATTGTCGTACACTGGTAACACTACTTTGAGGGTATTTGAGAATTATCGAATCAATTTTTTTTTTTTTTGACAACTATTGAGTTCACAGTCTGTTTTCACTTAATCTGTGGTATTATGATTTATTTTCCTTCAAAATTCCAATTTAATTATAGTACAAATTTAGGTTAGGATTAAACAGTGTCAATTGCACCTTTCTTATTACTAATTTTTCACATTGTCATCAGATATCTTACATAACATGTCATAATATATGTACATGATTAAATTAAAAGTTTCATATTTGTGTAAGAATACAGTAATTAGTTTTTATCAGGTGTGTCCCTTGAAATAATTATCGATTGTCCGTTAGATGTTTTTTCTAAATTAATAGCGAGATAATTAATGTTAAATTTAAAAAATTTTACTATCATAAATATATACATTCGTAATTTAATTAAGTTTTTTCTGTTTTAGATATTATTAATGAGAAATGATTAATTTTTATTATTTTATTAGTATCACTTTGATACTATTTCCCTATTCAATACTTGCTGAAGACTTTACAAATTGTATATTGGAGAGATGTCAGTGTGCTTTAATTGATACCGAGTTAAATGCAAATTGTGCTAACATCAATCTTACTAAAATACCAGAAAAATTAGACAATGATGTGAAGGCCTTGGATCTGTCAAGAAATTTATTATACGACTTGAAAAAAGATGCATTTAAGTCAGTAGGTTTGATAAACTTACGGAAGTTAGTCACCAGGGATTGTCACATCAACTATATCGATAAATACGCATTCAGTGGTCTCTCTGATCTTACTGAAGTTGACTTATCACATAATTCCATAGGGTATTTACCAGAAAACCTGTTCAATCATACTACAAATTTGAGAAAGCTTAATGTTTCTCACAACTATATTGGTGCATTACAAGGTGATTTATTCAACATAAAGAATTCTCTCGAAACAATTGATTTCAGTTACTGTGAAATTAGTTTTATTGATCCAATCATTTTTGCCAACGCAAAGAGTCTTAAAAATCTCTATTTGAATCATAACAAATTTAGTAACATTAATCCCAACTTTTTAAAAGAATTACCAAATTTGGAATTACTTCATTTAAATGACAATCCATGGTTTTGTAATTGCGAGTTGCGACCTTTTAGAGAACTGGTTCGTATGTTTGTTATAAATAAAAATTATTATTTTTTTTAAATGAGTTTAAAATATATTTTTAATACTAAGTTAACATATTTCACAATTTAAATGAATGTTGACTGTAAATTTATATTGTAATCATTTTTTTATTTCAACTAGTAATATATAACATAAATTTACATAAAAACCAAATGAGTTATGTTTTATGTATAATTTATAATTTTTAACCAATTATTCCTGTAAATTAACCCACATTTTATACAATTTCACTCTTGTATTTTTGTAAATTTCGACGTAAGTCAATTGACTATGTCTTTCGACACATTTTGTATTAATTTCAATCTAAAATTTTTACAGTGTAAATTTTATGCTTTGAAAAAACTTCTATGGTTTTCTAAGTTATTTTCTTTGAACCTAATTAAAAATTGCTAAATGCATTCAAAATAAAAGACTGACATTATTCTTATAATAATATTATATGCGTTAAATATCAACATTTTTATTTATGTTAAACATTTTTACGAATAACTTCTCACTATGAATAATTAAAATATTTTGCAGATTTTAACATCAAGTTTGTATAATAATTTAACATGTTCCAATCCTTCCAAGTTTGAAAATAAACTGTGGCAAGATATTAAACTAGAAGACTTTGCTTGCGTACCAAATATCGAGTACCCTCTCCAAGATTTAACTTATGAAGTACACACAGAAGAGTCCACCATACGTTGTAAAGCTAACGGAGGTCCAATTCATTCATTATATTGGAAATTAAACAACAAAACTATATCAAATTCTTCTCATGATGGTTATAATTTTACTATTTATGAGGGATCTGAAAACATCACTCATAAATGGGTGAATTTAACTATACCTCAATCAGCTGTAAATGAAAAATTAGAGTTCAAATGTGTTGTTGAGAATCCTGCTGGCAAAGATGAGCGAACAATAATAGTACAGGTTTGCTCACTTTATAGTAATAAAATTACTTTGACCCATTTGCTTCTTAAGTACAAAATTAATTTTAAAAATATTAATAATAGTATAGACATTTTTTAGTTAAAATTGGTTAGCAATCAACAACCTATAAAATATCTACTTGATTATAAATATTAAAGACATAGTTATTGATAATTGTCTCTTAACGATACGTCAAAAGATCACAAATCGTATTTAATTGAAAAGATTACCCTCAAAAATTGAAAAATTTTCCCTCATTCCCCGTAAATAGTGGAAATCAAAAAATTACGATTTTTAAAATCGGTAAATTTGAACATTTTTTTCACTTTTGAGGACTTATCTTCTAGTAGCAAACGGCTGCCGTAGTTAAAAACATGCTATTTTTGTGTTTAAATTATATTTTTGTTTGTTTATTTTAAAATACGTCATAAGAGTTAGTTATAGTAATGAGTCCATCAATTTTTATAAAATTTATATCAATCTGACTTACATTAAATATAAATTTATACTTATTTTGATTATTTTGTCACCTCAAAGTTAAGGAAAGCTGTTTTGAATTTTTGAATTATCTTAAATTGTCATTTTTAGCATATGTTGATGTAATTTACGGTGGCTGCGTATAATATAATACAGTATTATACGCTTGGGGTACGAAGTTCGAAACCCTTCATCAAACTAACTTTTTTTTCATTTTTTCTTAATTCTTTTTTGAGGTGAAAAAAAATTCAAAGTTTGATTGATTTTTATACCATTTAAATTGAATTACTTCAATAAATATTAAGGATCCCATCACTATAGTCTTCCCTCTTGAGAAAAAAAAAAATATATATATATATTATATTTTGTTTATAAAAACACATGTTTATATAAACATTACAAAACGTGCATATTTGTAAGAGTAGATACATACATTGCATTCTGTAATAGACGCTTTAATAAAGAATCAAGTACCATTTAATTATGTGCTATGAATTCAAATACATCAAATAAGTTTCATTATTTTTTAGAAACCAACTAGAGGAGATATTTACAGTTTCATTGTGCACTCTAAAATTAGGCACAGATATGCTCAGACTACCATTTCGAGCCGTGTGGCTAACAAAGGAAATACATCACAAGAAGTTCAGTTTTTTGTGACTCTACCAGAAAGTGCATTTATATCCAAGTTTTTGATGTAAATACAAAAATAATACCTAAATATTTATCTAGTTATGTACTATAGTATGTAATACTATACACAACTAGATATTATATTTTAACATAATATTAATGATGAAAAAATAATAAACATCAATTTCTTTCATATGGTCTCAGGGAAGTCAATGAAAAAGTTTACGAAGCATACGTCAAAGAGAAAAAAGAAGCTAGACAAGATTATATTAATGCAATAAATGCTGGACAAACAGCTGCACACGTGGAACAAAAGTTGGTTAATATTCATAAAAAATTGTACTTTCATTACAAGTTATTATCACTGACAAACTAATTTCTTTTTTTAGCGCAAGAGATTCTAATCAGTTTACAGTATCTCTAAATGTAGAAGCAGAGCACAAAGTAACTTTTAACTTAACTTATGATCAACTTTTGTTAAGAAAATTGGGTGTCTATCCAAATGTTATAAACATAAATCCTGGTCAAGTAAATTCTAAAATAAAAATAAACTCTAAATTTCATTACTGATTACATGTATTTTAGGTTGTCAAAAAATTAATGGTTATTGTTGATATTGAAGAAGCTTCTAATATAACAACACTAGAGGTGCCAGATTTAAAAACAACAAATGAAATAGAAACAATGGCCTCAAGTATGATAGTATTTATTACACCATTGGTTATATATAGTCTTTTCGTGAATAAATCTCATAAATACCCTCGTATAGTTCTGTGATAATATTTCATAAATTGTTTTTAAATAATCTCGGATAAGAAAATGTTGTAGGACTTATAACATTTACTATGCCTCATACAATATCTAATATATAAAACAAGTTTTTTATATTTCAGAAATCAATCGTATTCTACACCCAGAGAAAAACCTCGATCTATATAATAAATTCATTGTTCAATCTAATAAATATATCATTACTATTGAATCTATGATATATTTATCAATATGATAATTTTTTTTCTTGTCTTGAACAATAATTATTCATTAGAATAATTATTTTGTTCGTATTAATAAAACATTATCATAAACCCTTGATAAAATTTCTCTATCAAAATTGATTGAGGTTTTTCTTTGGGTGTATGTTCTATAATCTTCAAAAAAAATTTGTTCCTGATTCCCTCTTCCATTTAAAATACTATCAAATTTTTTTTACATGTAAATATGTATGTTTGACTAACTTAAAAATTAGGAAATTATCTAAATAAGAAAATGACTGGTCAATAAAAACTAACGATTTTAGGAGATGTATAGTACTTTTATATTATGACGGTATAAGTAATACGGATAATTAATACCTAAAAATAATAAACAGAGAGCCGCGTATTAATTCCGTTATTTATTGAATATATCACTGACTTTTTCAATATGTTAAACTGTATCAATTTTTTTTCGGTGAAGAAAATAAAATGGCAAAAATCACTCGCACGTCATCTAATTCTTCAACCATAACTTGGAGCCCATCTATTAAAGAACAAATAGCATCATCTGATCAAGGTATTAATGGGCAATTCATTGTTGAATATGACGTTGATCACGAATCTACACCAAACCAAATATTAGTAAATGATGTAATTTATCCACTTGAATATTCAGTAAATATTATGTATATGTACTCAGATAGACGACGGATATTTTGTTCATTACTTTTCTCCAGCAGACATGAAACCACTTAGAACTCATGTACTATTTGTATTGGATGTTAGTGGTTCCATGGAAGGACAAAAATTAGTTCAGATGAAAGAAGCTATGGAACAAATTTTAACTGAAATCCTTCCTGAGGATTACTTTACTATAATACTTTTTTCTGATTTTGCTCAAGTAATTACAGTTTATAATTACTTTTTATACTTATACGTTCATTTAATTATTAATTTAGATGAATCGATAAAAATATAAATATTTTACAAAATGCTAGATTCTTAATTAGAAATGTTTTTTACAGGTATGGACTTTAAATGCTACTCAAGAAACAAGTAATCGTTGGGATCAACAAACACAATCTATGAAAAATAATACACTACAAAACTTGAGTGAAGGTCGGTTCGTTTTTCCAGCCAACCCAGAAAATATAGAAAATGCTAAGAAATTTGTCAGAAAATTAATTTCAGAAAGCAGTAAATATATAAATCAACTCTATTTAAATAAATATTATGTATAAAATACATTCTATACTTAATAATTTATATTATTATCCTATATTTGAATAGGATATATCAACAAGTATTTATAATATATTTTAAATACTTATTTTTTAATGTATAGGTACAAATATCGAAGATGCGCTCAAGAAAGCTCTTGACGTCGCAAAAATGGGAGATATCAAGTTTACAAATGGTCCAAAGAAACCTAAACCTATAGTTGTATTTCTTACAGATGGTCAACCAAACACCGGTATTTCACAACCAGATGAACTTACCAATTTTACTACACATTTAAACACAGAAAAGTAAACTAACACGAAAATTTCTAACCAAAACGCGTATATTCAATAAAAATATGTTTGATATATCCAAATTCAGATATCCAATATTTAGTTTGGGTTTTGGTGAAGGAGTAGACATCGAATTTCTCAAAGAGCTTTCACTTAAGAATTTTGGTTTTGCTAGAACAATTTATGAAGCTTCAGATGCATCGCTGCAACTAAAAAATTTTTACAGAGAAATATCATCACCAGTGTTGTCAAACGTTACTTTTAAATATGTGGATTCTCAAGTAAAATTTTAATATGTATTTCGTATATCAGTAAAGTTTAAATAGGGACTGATAAGACAATAGCTGGCTTCCTATAGGTCAATTATTACTATAAACAACGTATGACTTTGACACCAGTAAAGTTAAACGATAAACAAAACAAAACAAAAAATTCTTATCCTTTCACTCTTCACCATTATTACCATTAGTAATAAGCCATTAGTACATGATTGTTATAATATTACATAAAGAACAAAAATAGTAATAATATTGTAATTACAGTAACATATTAGTATTATGAATATATTATTACTGACCGTAGGAATAGAAAATCTATGAAAAACTTATTCTAATTTTATTTTAAAGGTAGATAATATAACAGTTACGAAAAAATCATTCAACTTGTTATTTAGTGGCACTGAGATAATAGTTGCCGGAGTTTTAAGAAACTCTAGTGAAACACTAAATGGAACTTTATATGCTGATTCTATAAATGGAGAATTTATTGATTCCAATGTTGTTATATGCGATCTTTTGCCTTTACAATATATTAATGAAACAATCACGAAACCAGTTGGTTAGTCAAATAAAAAACAAAATAATTGTTATTAAAATTTATTCATATTATATTACCTTAAAATTCCAGGACATTTAGAAAAACTATGGGCATTTTTACATATACAGCAATTAATTGATCAACACAAGCTTGAGAAAAATGAGAATTCTACAGCAAAAACTAAAGCACTTGAATTAGCTCTTAAAGTAAGTTAAATATATCAAAGTCAAGATACACGTATATCAAATTTTTATTCACTGATATGGATTTAATATTTTATTTGTCATGTATCTTGTTCGTGCTCATGACATATATAAATATTAAATATTGAAAAACTTTAAATATTTAAACTTTAAATTTCAATGATAAATTTTTATAGTTGTTTCATTTTTTTTCTTATTTTATTTAGTATTCATTTGTAACTCCATTTACATCATTAGTTGTCGTTAAGCCAAATGAAACAACTTCATCCGATCCACAGAAAATTAAACCGACCAGCGCTCAAAACAATTTAATCCGTAAGTACTATGCAGTTAAAATATTTAACAAACTAAGATGTTTANGCGCTCAAAACAATTTAATCCGTAAGTACTATGCAGTTAAAATATTTAACAAACTAAGATGTTTAGATTTTATGATGGAGCAGGTGTAAAAAATAATTTTTTTAAAATAACTTCATCAACAAGCTAACTTGTTTTACTTCGTTTTAGTGTCAAGTCCAATGCATCAAAGCATAATGAATATAACAATCCAGGCGTTGATGGATATTTAGCACTTCCTCCTAAAAATATACACATTTATTAGTAAATGTAATAAAAATAATAGTTAAATAATAAAAAACTTAAATTGAAAATTTTATAAAAAAAATCTTTAATATAATTTAATGTTGTTGGAATATTATTCCAAAAGCAACGAAAAATGTTTGCATTGTTCTCATAAAATGATCTGTTTCTTGGTTTGTACCTTAAGTATAAAATATAATAAACTTTATTCCTAATGTCTCAATAGTTTACTTGTTTATAATAGAAATTATAGTATATATTTTTTAAAAGTACTAAATATAAATTATTTTTTAGCCTAACTCGTAAAAATTGTAATAATAATAAAAATAAAAGAGCTTGTAACAACTAATTACTACAAAACCGAATATATCCTTATATTAAAATACTACAAATAACTATAATTGTTTTGTAAAATGACTTAATATGTTTTATTTTTGATATGTAAAATCTAATCTCTATCAGTCAACAGGAAATTTTTTTAAAATGGGTATAGATTCCCTAGAAGAAAATAATTACATGGTATGTTCTTCTTATTGTTTTTTAAAAAAAACCTTGTTATTTCTTTGATAGTTTTTTTCGAGCATTGGAGAGCCTGTGATATTTATCTTTTTGGAATTGGCTTTTTTGGACTTATTGTCTTTTTTTTTTATTGATATTTCTAGCATCGGAAGCTTTGAACATTTTATATTATATACTACATTTTTTATAAATTTGAACAATATATGTTAAATAATACAGTTTTTTTACAATATAGTGACATTGATTTTTTATTTTAATATTTCATTAAAAATATCTAATTCACGGAAATTTGACTTTTTATTTATTATCTTAAGTTCAAGTAATAAATACTACTAAAATTACTAATATTTATCTAAAACTGATTTTTGCAATTTAGTGTCTATGAAATTTAACCGTGATGGATATCAGGAATAGAAATGACATTTTTGTTTTAATTTGAAGTTAATGATATTACATAAATTTCGTGATAGAAAAAGTAATAGAGTTAAGTTACCTATTGTGCATATCTATAACAACACCTTTGGCAAAATTTTAATCTCAGTATTGTGAACTACTTGCATTAGTAATGAATAAGAATAATGTAGTAAATCATTTAAAATATATAGATTTATAGAAAATTTTAAGAGATTTTTCATTATAAAATTTCATAGTTTACATATAAAATATATTGTTTGGCAGGGATTGGTTTTAAATGGTGCCTTCAACTTATGTAACTTTTAAAGCTATGACTTGAAGAATATTTAAGAAATTACACTATATAAATAATATGTAATTCTTTTATAAATGATAATAGTATTTAACTACATACCGTTTGCCATATTAGCTGACGACCATGATGCCATTGAATATGATGGTGGTCCGGCAAAACCTGAAGTTAAAATAATAAGCATAAGATAGATAAATAAGAAAAAAAGTAAAATATTTACTAATTCTAAAATTTATTACGCTAAATAATGATTTAAGTTGAAAAATGTATTCAAATGTATACAAGGTGAAATGATCTGATTGAAAACTCAAATAGCCTTCGATACATTCAAAGTTTTGCACTTTTTTATATTAATATCAATTTATGATTAATTTTTGAGAAAAATTAAAGTTTAATTATTTTTTTTAGTATATTTAAAGATGTCCATTAATTTATGTTATTAAACAAAATTTGATTCTAACATTTTTTATTTATTATTGTAGTTTTAAAGTTAATTAATAATATACTTTTTTTTTTTATAAAAAATACATAATGAATCTTTAATCTAATTAAATATAATTAAAAATTTTTAATGTTGATATAATTTTATAAACTTACCTCCAGATACAATTAATGGCTTTACGAAGCTTTGATGCATTGGACTTGACACTAAAACGAAGTAAAACAAGTTAGCTTGTTGATGAAGTTATTATATATCTAGCAGTTACACTATTGCGTTCAGCGACAGAAAATTTTTGCAAGTGGGCCTGAATCCAAAGGATGACTTCAATGTTACGGTATGCATTATTACTCCTTCACGATATATTAGTATGTCAGCAGATTATTTAAATATTATTTACGGCATGATGGATGAAATATCATTATTTCTACAATCACCTCCGGTAAAAGGAGAGAACATTATGTTATACCAAAATGTCGATTTTAATATAACCAAAGTATTGTACCGTGATACCATGCATTTAGTATTAGAATCCAGAATAGTGGATGGGTGTCGAGTGTTATTGAATAACGAAAACATTAATAGACTTATGGACTTACAGTGTACTATTAACAGTGCAATATCAAGAAAAATAAAAACACGTTTACTATTAAGCCATCAAATAGACCGCATTATACAATACGCCGACAGTAAATGGTCGGGCCCTAAAATTCAACAATCAAACAATGATGAAATGGTAAATTTTATAAGAAGTTTGAACGACATAGAAATATGTGATACTATTCCTAAAGGTGACAGTAAATACATAAGCGAGCTGAAGAATTTAGCGTACAATGTAATAGTTGATAGTTGGGTCAAGTCATGGTCCAAAGACATGCTTCAAATTAATGTGAGTTTAATGAACATAGATTGTAATAACCTTTATTGTTATTAAATTTATAATTATGCTTTAGGAAAAAGAAGAAGAAATGTGCGATGAAAATGATGGTCCAACATTTTTCAATACAACAGTGTATAGCCAAGAAAATAGTTATAGTCCATGGGCTTCACAATGGCCGAAACCCAATCACGTCAGAAAATTAACTTATATTAATAATTTATAAACAATAACTTTATATATTGTACTAGTTTCTTATAATAAACTTATAATCTAAAAATAAAAACAGTGTTGTTATTTGTATATAATATATTTATTTTATAATAATAATAATAATTACAAGGTTAATAATAAATGTTTACATAAACATGTAAAAAATGATAAAATATACGGAGGGTACCGTCAAAAGGTGTATATGTAAATACATTGTCTGAAATTACTATAGCATATGCAGTTGTATTAGCAGGGAACGCGGATGATGCTTCAATTTCAATACGTAGGTTAAAAGACGGGACTGTAATTTTGTCGGTCTGCTTTGACATATCAATCACTGCAATAGAATTATTATAATGATATTAAAAAATAATATTAAATATGGTTAAATTAAAAACATCTATACATTTGGCGGTTAAATAACAAGGTATTTGTATGGTGGATTTGTACCGCACATATTTGTACAGTATTCATTATCACATGTAAAAAATGTTAAATTTCATGATGTAAAATAGAATATGTGCATGAAAAAACTATGTTTAAAGATCTATACCTGTTCTTGTACTTTATCCTGTCACATGCATAACACTAGAAGCAATTGATAATTATGTTACCCTTAATGTATATTATTATTAATATTATATACAAAATATGAAAAAAAAAAAAAAAAAATTAACTTACAACAAAACAAACTTATTATTTACAAATTATAAATACCACTCTGAATATTCATCTACAGTCTCGTCATCCAAATTAAAATTAAGATAGGTAATGGGGGTGCGATAGTATGTCGGTACCAAATTCGCCATATGCTGAGTCGAGTTAAGCTCAGTTAAACCTATGTTTAATATTCATAATCATAATCTTACTTTAAATCTATATTGGCTAATATGAATCGTCAAATGAAAACCAGTTTCAATGCTAATGCTAACATTAATCTTGTTTACGTGATACAATTAAGTTGTACATGCAAACAAGATCAATTATACGACGATTTTTAAATCCACTCCTCAACTTTTGACTGCTACCTGTAAATAAGCTAAGTCTTTCTGTACAATAAAAATAATCTATGTAAACATAATTTTCAACCTTTATAAAGTAAATTAGTTTCGTCTATTAACTATTAGTTTTAATTTTATTATCAAAAGTATTACTAATAATTTTTTTTTTTACCTTCAAGCCAACGTTTATGTTCATAATCAGTCTTTACGGTGAATAGCTTTTCATACAATTCTCGTAAATAAATCTCCGNCTTTACGGTGAATAGCTTTTCATACAATTCTAGTAAATAAATCTCCAGATCGACCGATGTACGTTCAATTAAATCGTTAGTAATTGCCTCATATTTTTCATACTCTGCATTATTAACGAAATATTCGACCACTACATCGGCCCAAATGTTGATATATTATCCGGTATGGTAGACATCTCTTAATAATGCCCTATGTTGATAACATTTATTGATTTCACAATCACAATATTTAAAATTGTAATCTTCTATTTTTACATATAAAATATATGTTAACGATAAATGAAGAATACTATTATCAGTTTATTGTACTCACTTATGGCATTGAAATCCATAATACATTTCTTGTAAAATATTCGATCGCATTCATTTTATTTTTTGTTTGTGATTGAATACGCTGGTCAGTTGAATAAATGATAGTTTGTATGCGTACTTGTTCAGCATAGAGCGTTACAAGTAAAAAAAAAAATACATTTCGAGGTGTTGAGATAGGGTATTTATATTAAAAACTATACTTAATGATCTATACATGTTCATAGCTAATCCTTCATCCTCTCACATGTATAACGTTATATACAATGATACATGTCACATTCATTATTCAGTAATTATATATGAATTTTTAGGCAAATAAGCAATAAACACATCATAGTAAAATTAATACTTTCTATGAGCCCCGTCAAAGTTAAACATTTTTTAAAACTTGATTACATTATTAATAGTAACAGGTAGTATAACAATATTTTCTTAATAGTCACATTATTTAAGAATTATTATTATAGCAATTTTCTTAACATAAACACTTTATAAAAATGTAAATTCCCATATATGATTTTCATGTATGAAAATACTTTTTCTTATATTACAAGGCATATGCAATAGTACCAACAGAAAAAAAAAACTAGAGATCTCAACTTCTACAAGTGAATAATTATAAGTATAAACGGGTGATTATAGACATATTAATGTGAAAATAATCAAGTGGCATAGAAAGTGTCTATTATTTGGAAATATATGTCCAGTGATAATTTATTTAGTTCTTATATCTAACGTAGTACATAATCCATATATATTTATCTGTCTATCACTATCGATCATGATCGGGTTAGATCAAATCGATCAACAAAGATCAATATACTAAAGTATCTATTTTCATGTATAGTATATGTATTACACATGAATCATTTATGTATATTATACTTATAGTGTACCATAGGTATCTACGATAACGTATCCTTAATTTTCTGACGTGATTGGGTTTCGGCCATTGTGAAGCCCATGGACTATAACTATTTTCTTGGCTATACACTGTTGTATTGAAAAATGTTGGACCATCATTTTCATCGCACATTTCTTCTTCTTTTTCCTAAAGCATAATTATAAATTTAATAACAATAAAGGTTATGACAATCTATGTTCATTAAACTCACATTAATTTGAAGCATGTCTTTGGACCATGACTTGACCCAACTATCAACTATTACATTGTATGCTAAATTCTTCAGCTCGCTTATGTATTTACTGTCACCTTTAGGAATAGTATCACATATTTCTTTGTCGTTCAAACTTCTTATAAAATTAACCATTTCATCATTGTTTGATTGTTGAATTTTAGGGCCCGACCATTTACT